TTCTTTGCTTTTCAGGTATGAATTTCCTAGAGCTATTACCTCGTTTTGGTATCCTTGACTTGTCTAAACTCATTCTTTATTTGTCACTTTCCTATGCCTACTCTTGACTCAATTGCTAGAGACCTTATAGTTTTATTAACAATAATAATGACACAACACAATAAATTTCACCAGATTCTACTAAATAGTGACCCCGAATCCCTGTATGTTGTCAGAGTACAGTTTGTATAAAATTTATTCACACTGACCGATTATCGGTCCAAAGATCTGGAAATTAGCACAATATGATGTTATCAGTCAATTTTAAAAGATAGTGTACTCACTACCCAATCAAGCACAGTTTAGGTTGATTTAAAATAAAAAAAAAACAAAAAAAATATATATTGACACAATATGAATGTATATATAAAAAAACGTATGTGTCTTGTACTCTTAGTCGGTCGCAGTACAATAGTCGAACCTGTATTTTAAAGAAAAAGCTTTCCCTGCTTGGTGCTGCACCAAACAGACAAAACTTTGAAGGCAGTAATTTTCTCAAGTGGGCGTCTATTGCACCCACCGAGTACTGTGTTACCTATTCTGCCTTCGGACTGCCCGAGCTAGACCTACTAAAATCCTCAGGGCAGTCACTTTTCCCAAACACGTATTATGTTTCAATCCACACCAATGAGTCACGCTCTTTTTAATTTAGACTTAGTGTCGCGAATATCCGAGTTCGGACCTGTTTTGTATTAGTCTGGTTCTTTTTGAAAGGCAAGTTACCAGTGCAGTCACTGATACCTAGCCTGTGTATTAATAACCTAATACCTCTCGCTTTTTAGTCTTTCTTTCGTTTACCTAAGTCCTTAATAAAATAATACCCCTCCGGATTGGCACAAATAGGACCCTTCCGGACTGTCAGAATATAGACCCCTCCGGATTGGGACCCCTCCGAGTTAGTTAATAGTAGACCCCTCCGGATTTGGACCCCTCCGAATTAGCAACTATAAGATCCCTCCGGATTCGGACCCCTCCGGTTTTGTGGAAAGTAGACCCCTCCGGATTCGGACCCCTCTGACTTTGAAACATTTCGACCCCTCCGTATTGGGAGCCCTTAGCTCTGTCAAAGTAGCTTTTCGTAGTTTTCTTAATCTCAGCTTATACCCCTCCGGATACGTTCTGCGTTGCTTTTATGCTGTTTGAATTTACTGGGAAGGGTATAGGGTCCTTTCCTAGACCCCTCCGGATTGAAGTTAAGGCACTTATTTGACAATTCACACCAACGGTGAAGGGTCTTATCACTTGCCTAATTTCGACTCTATTATGGTTGTCTTGTGCCTTCAGCCCTCCCTTTTTTGTCTAGAACTGTCCTAAGTTACTTAGTTCAATCGCTATCAACTTTTGATAGGGGTATAAGGGTTTTTCAGAAAAATTTATAAAACATAAAGGGTGTACCCCTCCGGATTTGTGTAATTTGCTAAAAACAATCTCAAAAAATTTTCTCGCTCGCTTTTCCGAAAAATTTCTGATCCTATTAGTAAGCTCAGCTAATTTCTGATCTATTGGTACCAAGATCAACTCGATATGATCAGTAGTTCCAAAGTTATTAACCAAAACGTCTTTTTTCCGAACTCAAAAAATTTTCTCTCTTATAGGTTCCGCTTAACTTTTTCCGCAAATCTGGTCCTTTCGACCTAAAAATTATTGATCCGAGCTCAGAAGGCCTATACTCTTCTAGTTCAATGCAAAAGACCCGATTTAAAACGCTATTGTAGAAAAATTTTGCGAAAAACTATGCTACCTGGACCCCTCCGGATTGATGAATCTACCAAATCAAACACGTTATGTTCGATTTCTCTGCAACCCGGAAGGCTTTCGGGTAGCGGATTTTAAGACTTGTAGATTCACTAGTGGACGTTGTCCGAACAACTATTTTTACTGTCCTACCTCAAAAATTTCAAAAAATTTTCTAAATTTTTAGTGTTTCTTACTATCAAAAATTGGGAAAATTTGGTTTTTGGTACCAAACTAGTTCCAACCACTTCCGAACTAAAGTTAACCGGTTCTACTTATTACAGTAGTGCAGTTACGATGTAACACACTAACTTAGCGCTTTTTTCCGTTTCAAAAAATATCGATATCTCAAAAATCGCGACTTGTGGGGGGATCAAATTATCGCTATTTTGACCCTAAAAACCGGTCTGTTTTCGTTGTTTTTCACTGAAAAACGATATGTGACTATTAATATAGGCTATATGAATAATAATATTAGTAATACTATACCCCTCCGGGTTTGTTTATTATCCAAATTAAGGTGCTTAACTCGGATATTCGCAGTTCGGTGAAGGGTCACTACAGTGCAGCACTGTCGAGCCCCCCACAGATTACTATCTTACTTTTTGTACCAAAAGGGATACAAAACTTGTTAACGATACCCAACAGTCGATTGTTGTTGTCGTTGAGCCCCTTCTTGTTGCTCCTTGTACTGCTTGCCGGATCGGTCTTCACCCAAGACCCTTCCGAATTGAGCGCAAATCAGCTGACCCTTCCGGATTGAGCGCAATTTATCATTAACGTGCTTAAATGCTCAAATAACCCTACAGTACAAGCCTCACAAACGGGCTACAAAATTGATCGTAACGATCCTGACTGATATAAATGCCTGTAACAACAATATATCTATCAACAACAAACGGGGGGGTTGAATCACATCTTGTCTGGGGGGATGATTTCTACTGATTTTTTACTTTTTTACTGTTTTTGGTTTTTTCGGTTATTTTTTATGTTTTTTGTTTTTCTTGGGTACTATACTACTTTTTGTTTGGTTTTGCTGATATCTTTAAGTGTTTTTGGTCACAAACCACTCAGGGGATGAGGGGTTCATGATTCCCCCCACCCTTCCTGGTTCGTGAATTTTCGGTCTTAACTAGGTTAAAAAACTATTCACGGTAATCCGGAAGGCTTCCGCGTTCCGAACTACCCTTCCACCCCGGCAGTTTAGGCCTATTAAGGGCGTTAATGTGAGCATCCGCTCGGCGCGGAGTGCTCGTTAACGGTTCCGCCGGTCATGATGTTATGAAAAAATAACACCCAGGAGCGCCATAAAAACATACATGTAACATTCGCCCGGAAGATACATATCGACGGATAACAAAACTAAGTCTTAAGACGACTGGCTAGCGTCTAAACAGAGCTTTGCATGTTTTTCACCGTCTCTACCAAGCCAGTACTTTTCGGTGGTCTTTCTTACATCAGGCTGACAAAAACGTTACTGTTCTCCGGCTTCGACCAGAACGCTCAAATTAACTGAATTACATGCAAAATTAGTGAGCTCATGGCTGGGTCTCTGTATCCCCAGACCACGAGGTCACTCCTAAAAACAGGGCTATTACTTATTATATTACTATTGTTTTTGTTCAGTAGATAAAAATCATCATCTCCATCGAAGATGGATCAACCCTTTCCCCCAACTCCTAGCACCTCATCCTTGTCAAAACTAATCAAAATATCAGTTAAATTCAAGTCAGGACATGACAGGATGCTAAAAGTTTATGTGAGTTAATAAAAGTTCCCGTCCCGAGACCCTTCCGGATTCTTGAATCCGGCGAATCAAGCTCCTTAACCTCAGGTTCACGCTAACTCGGAGGGCTGGTTTTTACCCTTCACCGTTGTTCGCAACGGCCTTGCAACTATTGTAACAGCACAATAGTTGCAACTCGGAACGTCCTCTGCTGTTCGGTAGTTCGTTGTTGTTTTTTAGTCTCGATTTTCGTACTGTTCGTAATCGCAGATAAAGTTGTTCTGTTTCTTTCTGCTATTTTAGCCAAAATGGCCGTTTTAACATTTCTCAGAAATGTTACGTCATCACTTCGAAAATTTAAAATTTAGAATTCCAGAATCTTCTAGCCTTCACCGTTTGGCCAATCATTCAAATAACGTCCTTATCCGTTCTAAATCGCCAATCCGGAAGGTTCACTGCTAAAATCCTGAATTCTGCAGAGACTGCATTTTGGCCATTCTGGTCGAATGTCACAGACTAGAACCCGTTACAGCTTAAAGGCCACTACCAAAATACCCCCCACTCTAGAAAATAAGAAAGTCTCCATACTTAGGTCTCAAAATACCCAAAATACACGAACGCCGTTAAAACAGGGTCGGAACAATCCGTTAAGTTACTTTTTTATTGGACAGTGGAACTCTGATCCATTTCAGATGGATCAACCTAAAAGTCGCCTCACCTCAACATACTTATTATAAAATGCACTCGAGAAAACTAAATTTGGTACTTACATAGCAGCACGCTTGAGAAACAGAGTAATTAAACTAATTAATGACTCCAGCATAAATATAATCGAATATAACTCAAGAAGTTTTCTAACGATGAGTTCCAATCAAGGGAAATAAGTTCTAATTCAAGAAAGTAGTTTCGGATCTGGACCATTGGGAGACTTCACTTGTCTGCCTTTCCGTTGAAGGTTCACACTGGTTCAGTTGATTCTAGTTCTGCTCTCGTATTTGTTTGGTCTCCTATATCAGATAGGACAGCTCTACTCTCGTTTTCTACGATGGAAATTGCGAATAACAATTTCCCACTGTGTATATTTGACAACTTTCCCGCAATTGTAATTCGGTTGTTCTGATCTTTAATTTTATGTAATGCGAGAAAACTGAGCATGACAGGCTCCATTCGAATTTTTGAAAAATAAAATTTCATTCCAAAACCACGTATTTTCGTGCTCCTCAAGGTCAAACTTCCAGATATGACCGACTGGCACACCAATCCGGGGAATGGCACACCACTTCGTTATCTGGAAAGTTCCAAGGGTTTTGACTGGATTTTGTGATGAAGGGACTGCTGAATGTAACCTCGGTTACTGTGATATGTTTGACCTGATAACCGAGAAATATGTTATGTTTACGCTAACTATGTTATTGATTCTCACATTACATACATACATAATAAAATACACAATTAAGTTTTTCTTTTGAAGTCTCTATTTCTGCTGGTATATTTCAGACTGACTGAATGTCCCTACAGCCAACAAAATGAAAATCCCTAAAATTAGCGGAATATGATAACAGTAGCTGGTTGCTGTTAGACGAGTATCAGACCACATTAACTTCATCAATGATATTTTGATGTTTTCCAAGTTATTCCAATTTTATCTGGCTGTCTCAAATGCAAAATCATGGATTCAAATAGAAATACGTTTAATGTAATAATGCTTCCTAGGATCTACAGCAAGATTGGAAGCTAGATATTCATCAGAAACTGAAAAGCTGTCTGAAAAAATGGTTGCTTTCAAACCCTGTTTCTTGACACAGACTATTTTGGAACAGAAATGACAACTGACCGTTCTTCAGTCTGACATGCGAGATTCTTTTGAGGCATGTAATTTTACGTATCAATATTTTTACCGATGGTAATTAATGATTAATTCCCAGTTAGTGATTGTATGCTTACAAGAAATGACCCTGAAATCAACCAAAATGGCTCTTTTTCGTCCCCCACCTCGCATGATCATCAATTTTATGGTATAACTAGTGGTTAGGTACAACACGGTTAGTTATGACGACCAAATATATTTATCATGGCTAAGTTATTTCGCGTGTCATTTTTCGGATATTGTGTAATAATCGGATAACGTGAATAAATTTGCAGTAAAAACTCGGTGAAAGGAAAAAGAGCCCCAATAATTTCCACAACCAAAGAGCTGGAACCATAGAGCTCTGAAATCAATCTAACGAAAACTCATCTGAGAAATTCGTGCTAGAAAGTCACGTAGAAGTCATCCAATTTAGCGGTTTTGATTTTTTGAGCGGTTTTGACGGTCAAAAAGTCACTTAAATTTGATTTGAAACTATTCAATTTTTAACACAATGAATTTTAGATCACTCATTGTAATATTTTACTTTCAACTAACATTAGCTGTTAAAGTTCATCCTAAATTAAGGTTAGTAGGCGAGTAGTGGCCAACAAAGATCAGTGGACAGTTTTCCTAATTTGGGGGCTATAAGGGCAATGAGCAGATTAATTTTCTTTGTACACACTTATTAATGCGTTTAATTTGACGAGCTTCCATTGGTTTTTTTTGAAGATAAAACGTTGCGCGTACCAAATTTAGGGTGTGGCCTGTATCTAAGACTACCAACGTTTCTTAGCTTTGTATAAAATTATTTCGTTTGCGAGAGCAAGTGACTTGTAATCGGCAACTAGAATTTTTGTTCCCCTTAAAATTTTTCTTCTAAATCAAATTGCTTTTATTGAATCTTTACAACTTACAAGCTCATTCCCACTTAGTCAAGCGAGTGGGAAAGGGCGTGTTTTTGGATCCTAAAATTTCGAATTTGATTCTCAGCCGGACCTTGACTTTTAAGCGTTGAAATGGATTTTTTTTGAAACTTTGAATGGTCGGACGTTTTTCTGCTGATTTTCTCATCGGCTTTATGTAACTTATTAATCGATTCAATCCTTTTAACTGGTTTTCTGCTCGTTTCTAGACGTGCTAATGGGAAAGGACACAACCTCACCAATGTCGTGAATAGTGGGGATCGAATCATCAATGGAAATGATGCAAGCATAAGCGACCACCCTTGGGCTGTATACCTGTTAGCAGATGACGGCAGCGGCTCTCAGTTTAGATGCGGTGGATCGATTATTTCCAGTGGCGCGGGTGAGAAAGTCCTCTCAGAAACTGGTTTAAAATCATTTTCTGTCTTCGTTTTGATGTGGGCCTAAGCGGAGCTTAGTGTCATATTTACACTTGCCAAGCAAATTGTATTAGCACGAACTTTCTTTTTCCCCCAACCTAAGTCGCAAATATTGGTGCCACTTTTGGGACAGCTTTTTCATAGCATGTTCTTTGACTTTCGAATAGTAATAAGTTATTACAATTGATGCATTTTTATTGCGTCAAATGAACCGCAAAAAGCTATTTGTTTCAAGCAACTTAACAATAATGAAAACTCGATTTCAGAAATTTTTAACTCAATATATCTCGGAATTTTTTCAAATGCATAATCTATACATAATGTGGCTTTATGTTTTTCGATTTGTTTTATGCAAAGTTAGAGTGGATGCCTTCAGTTTGTTATATTCCAAATTATTACTTGCAAACTTGAGTCTATTTGGTGCCACTTTTGCTGAATTGCGTTGGCAATTTATTAGCATATGTAGCTGCTTTGTTTGTGACTAGTGTTTGTCGGTTGTTAAGCTTGCGTGGCCGAGTGGATAGTGCTTAAGACTCCTAATCTCCGCATATTCGAATCAGACATGTAGTCGAGTTTTTGCTAAATCGAGGCTTATTTCTACTTTTTCTTATATCACTTGATAGAGCTGCTTTTTGGTCGTGTTCTCGCAAGTGTTTGTGAAGCGCAGCTTCGCCTCTTTGTATGAAGTTCTTTCTTTAACCAATTCGCTAGTAGAAGTGCTCATTTGGTCGCACTTTTCCAGCAATATACTGGAGAAAAAAGTAACGCAACTAGAGAATTTAAAAACAAAAATGAGAAAGTTTTCGAAAAGTCAAAATAAATTGGCTTTTTCTAGATAGCGATATACCTAGTTTTTTTTGTAATTTAAGAAACCTCAAAAACAACTTAAATAAGCTCATTTTTCAAATCTATCTATCTGTTATGTATTTAAATGCGGGATTCACTATCTCGCCATCTTTAAGCTTTTTCAACGTAATATTTTTGCATGTTTAACAAAAGAATTTTTTTTACGTTGAAGCCATATTGTATATCGCAATGGTTAAGGTTTCATTTTCGTTTTTCCAATTTAACTTCAGTGTTTATTTCATCAAGTTTGAAATTAGCAACCAAATAGAAGGATATTGTCAGAGTTTTCTCAGGTTTTGCGATTCTGGCCTCCTTATATGAATACCAAATCCTTTTAGTTTACGAGATAGGCATTTTTCGAGATTTTTCAAAAATTTCTAGAAAATTTATTTTTTAAAAGTTTCTCGATTTTTGAAAATTTCACGCTGTAGTTCGGTGCTGTCAGCGTACTCTCAGGGTTTGCGAATCTTGCCTCCAATTCTCACTTCTCAAATCCTTGCAGTTTTCGAGATATGACGTTTTTTATGATTTTTTTTTAGAAAATCTTGAAGAACTTGGATATGAAAAATTTCCACAACGTTGAAAATAATAATCTTCTTGTTGGATATTGTGAGGGTACTCTCAGGGGTTGCGAATCTTACCTGTGATTATGGCTGCTCAAATTCTTGTATTTTTCGAGATATGACGTTTTTTAGGATTTAAAAAAAAAAAAATTCTGAAAACTTAGGTATAAAAAATTTTGCGAATCTTGAAATTATCATCTCTGTAGTGAGGCTTTGTCAGGGTACTCTCAGGAGTTGCCAATCTTTCCTCCCAATATGACTGATCAAATCCTTGTAGTTTTCGAGATATGGCGACTTTTATGATTTTTTCCGAAGTTTTCAAAAAAACTTAGATGTTAAGCTGTTCCAAAACTTTGAAGATATCAATCCTGTTGTTGAAATCTATGAAGGTACTCTCAGGGAGGTGCGAATCTTGCCTCTGAATATTGCTGCTCAAATCCTTGTAGTTTTCGAGAAATGACGTTTTTTATGATTTTCTTCGAAGTTTTCAAAAAAATTCAGATGTTAAACAGTATCAAAACTTTGAGGATATCAATCCTGTTTTTGAAATGTATGAGGGTACTCTTAGGTAGGTGCGAATCTTGCCTCTGAATATGGCTGCTCAATTTGTAGTAGTTTTCGAGATATGACGTTTTTTATGATTTTCTCCGAAGTTTTCAAAAAAATTTAGATGTTAAACAGTATCAAAACTTTGAAGATATCAATCCTGTTATTGAATTGTATGAGGGTACTCTCAGGGAGGTGCAAATCTTGCCTCTGAATATGGCTGATCAAATCCTTGTAGTTTCCGAGATACGACGTTTTTTTAAGGTTTTTTCAAATTTTTTCAGAAAACATAATTATAAAAAATTTGACAAAACTTGAAATTATTATCTCTGTAGTGAGGCTCTGTAATTTTTGTAATTTTTTAAAAAGTTATCATGAAAATCAAATTAATTTTTTTTTCGAAGTTTTAAATTCCTAACCTGTAGTTCAGTGGCTGTCAGAGTTATCTCAAGGTTTGCTAATTTGGCCTTCAATTAAGAGTGCCCAAATCATATTTTAATTAAGAGATACGACGATTTTTGTGATTTTTTTTGGAAATTTTCAGAAAACTCAATTTACAAAATAATTACTTAAAGTGAAATTACCAACACTGTAGTTGTGTACTTTCAAAGATTGCGAATATTGGCATCAAAAAAGACTGCTCAAGTTTTGGCAGTTTTCGAGATGTGAGTTTTCTGGTTTTCAAAAAATGCCTTTTTTTACAAAACTTAAGGTGAAGTTTCTTAAAATTTGAATTTCCCAACGTTGGAGTTCGGTACTGTAAGAGTACTCTCAGGAGTTGCAAATCTTGCGTCCAAATGCGACTGCTCAATTGCTTTCAATTTCCCAGATGTGACCTTTCTTAATTCATTATAAACTTAGATATAAAAATTGTCACAAATTTTTATGGTTTTTCAAAATTTGAATTAAAAAAACGATTGGAAAACTTAACAAAATTTGAAGTAACTCTCAGGAGTTGCAAATTTTGCGTCCAAATGCGACTGTTCAATTGATTTCAGTTTCCCAGATGTGAAGTTTTGTAGTTCATTTTAAGTTTTTGAAGAACTTATAAAAAACTTCACAAAAGTTTATGGTTCTTCAAAATTTGTATAAAAAACTTGAATAAAAAACTTTGCAAAATTTTTAATAACGAACCCTGTAATTGGGTGCTGTCAGAGGACTTTCAAAGAATAGTTTTTCAAGTTGTTGAAAATTCGAAGCACCGGAGGTTCGTTACATGCTAGTCTCTGATTGAAAAGTTTTTAGCACTTATTGAGATAAAGATTTTGCATCTCTCGAACGAAATGAAAGTTTTCAGTACTAACTGCTTTTTTTTCTGGATCGAAATCTTCGAAACATGTTCGTTTGATGTAAGGGGTTTACTGGTTGTCAGTTTTCGTTTTTTTTCTGTTTGAGTTCGTGATTCAGGCAAAACATGTTTCCAACGTTTTTTTTTACACAAGGAATGAAACGATTTTATGTTCACAAGACTTCATATGGAATTTTTAGAATTTGTAAAAAACTTTGGTTGCGTTGCTTTTTTCTCCATTATAGTATTATATCTGGTTTTATCTGCATACTCCTTTTATCTGAAACTTTTTTTTTCTAACCCGCAAATAAACGTGTTCAGTGAAATTGTTCACTTATCTGGAAATTTCACTGTAGCATTGGATTCCATAGCATCTGTTCTCTGCTTCATGTGTGGCTAGTGTTTGTTACTAATTAAGTTTCCGTAGACTCATAGTTTATAGGTCGCAGTAGGTAGTAGGTTTGAATCCGAGGTGTAGCCGAACTTTTACTAATTCGAGGCTCATCTGTTTTTCTTATTGCTTTTTATAGAGCTGCTTTTTGTCGTTTTCTCGCTAGTTTTTGCGGAGCGAAGCTTAGCCTCTGTGTTACGCTTGCGATTAGCAAGCGTTATCAAGTTGGAATGTCTACTTTTTTCGGGTTAACAACTAGCTTAACAAAATCAGTTGAATCAATTAGCTCGGCTGTGCTCATAGCAACAACAGAATGCATGTCAACAGATTTGTTTTTGAGCATGCCTGATTTTTAAATGGCCATTCCGTTCGGATTTGTATTGCTGGTTTCAAATCATTTCTTGTTTTAGTGCCTTTCGTGCTTATTATTTTTCGATTATGGTTCTTCAAAATTTGAATAAAAAACTTGAATAAAAAACTTTGCAAAATTTTTAATAACGAACCCTGTAATTGGGTGCTGTCAGAGTACTTTCAAAGAATAGTTTTTTAAGTTGTTGAAAATGCGAAGCACCGGAGGTTCGTTACATGCTAGTCTCTTATTGAAAATTTTTTAGCAGTTTTTGCAAAATTTTCTGACCTGAGCGGGAAAACGTTGTGAGATTTTGCATCTCTCGAACGAAATGAAAGTTTTCAGTACTTACTGCTTTTTTTCTGGATCGAAATCTTCGAAACATGTTCGTTTGATGTAAGGGGTTTACTGGTTGTCAGTTTTCGTTTTTTTTCTGTTTGAGTTCGTGATTCAGGCAAAACATGTTTCCAACGTTTTTTTTACACAAGGAATGAAACGATTTTGTGTTCACAAGATTTCATATGGAATTTTTAGATTTTGTAAAAAAACTTTGGTTGCGTTGCTTTTGTCTCCATTATAGTATTATATCTGGTTTTATCTGCATACTCTTTTTCTGCATTGGCATCATACCTTACTTCAGCGGCGGATCTGGGATTTTCTCGAGGGGGGGGGGGTGTGGTGTGGTGTTGTGAGGTGGGTGTTTCGATAAGATTTTTCGAAATTTCCCAGAACACTATAAACATCCTATTTTGACACAATTTTCTGCGCCGCTGGCAAAATTTTGAAAAAGCGTGTCAAAAACGCCGTTTTGGGCGCTTTTTGAAAATTTTTGGACCATATATTTGTGTTTTTTTTTTGACGCGCACTATTCAAGTTTTGTATATATTGGCGCCCAAAAATTTTAGTGTTGGTGACTGAAATTCGATGTCATAATATAATACCAAGGGGGTCGAATCACTAAGGCGTTTTTGAGGGGTCGAATCCCCGAGGGTTTGGTGAGGGGGTTCGAATCCCCGAGGGCTTGGTGGGAGGGTCGAATCCCTGAGCAGAGGGGTGTGCGCGCCATCCTAAATTCGCATCTGCCCTGTTTGCTTTTGCTCAATAGCATTATTACACCAGCCAGCAGCTAGTGTATAAGTACGAAACTTTTTTTTCTAACCCGCAAATCAACGTGTTCAGTGAAATTGTTCACTTATCTGGAAATTTCACTGTAGCATTGGAAATTGCATAGCATCTGTTCTCTGCTTCATGTGTGGCTAGTGTTTGTTACTAATTAAGTTTCCGTAGACTCATAGTTTCTAGGTCGCAGTAGGTAGTAGGTTTGAATCCGAGGTGTAGCCGAACTTTTACCAATTCGAGGCTCATTTGTTTTTCTTATTGCACTTTATAGAGCTGCTTTTTGTCGTTTTCTCGCTAGTTTTTGCGGAGCGAAGCTTCGCCTCTGTGTTACGCTTGCGACTTGCAAGCGTTATCAAGTTGGAATGTCTACTTTTTTCGGTTTAAAAACTAGCTTAACAAAATCAGTTGAATCAATTAGCTCGGCTGTTCTCATAGCAACAGAACAGAATGCATGTCAACAGATTTGTTTTTGAGCATGCCTGCCTTTTAAATGGCCTTTCCATTCGGATTTGTATTGTTGGTTTCAAATCAACTCTTGTTTTTAGTGCCTTTTGTGCTTATTATTTTTCGATTTTTTGATTACGTTTTTTTTCGGCTTAAATGGTTGCTGATGCATATCCGTTTAGTTGCCTGATGATTCGTCGAGTAAAGCAACCCAAATTTTTTAATTGGGTTTGGCTCAAAATGTTTTATGTTTTCACAAGTGGTGCGAAGCTCCACTTCGCCTCTGTTTATATTTGTATCTGGATTATTGGTGGCTAGTATTTAAAAATTGTCCAGCGACCATTGCACAGATGCTAGGATGTGTGACTCTTGATCTCGAGGTTGCCGTTTTCTTTGTATCTTGGTTCAGAATAAATTCAAATTTCTAGGCGTTCCCGGCCAACTAAGTCCGGAGGTAACGACTTTGGCTGGGACGGCAAAGGTCCTGAGTTCGAATCTAACGAGAAGACGGTAATTTGGGGTAGCTTCAAGGGAAACACAATTTTAACACTCCCCTCGGCAAGTTTCAATTTGGCTGTATGTTTTCCAATCAATTTGTTAATTTTTTTTTCGTTAAGGGAAATTATTGTCAAACTTCAATTGATTTTCAAAAGAGGTATCAATTGAATGACCGCCTACTCCCAGGTGTCACTGCTGAGTCCCTTTTTACCCCTCTGTCTACAGACTTCGAAAAAGTCTGAGGGAATATTTGACCCATAATTTGGGTTTGTTTTCCGTTTTCTCAAGAACTACCCCATTCGAATCTGAGTTTCCAGTTTCAATGAATAGAATGGTTTTGAAAAAACTTCTGTGCTCCAGCGGCTACACAAGGTTTTGTTACACGTGAATTTAGGGCCCTCCGAATAGTCAAAAATTGTTTTTTGACTTGTGAAGCTTTTTTCTACTCTCCAAAACTAATCTCTTAAATCTGATATTGTGGGTTCAATGAGGATAACTGGTAGTAATAAGCTCCCCTGCAATAGCGGCTTTCCAGCTTTTTGTGTTACTTAAAAAGCTATTACAAAAAGTTACACGAAAAGTCAATTTTATATTTTTTGACTGTCTTTCAAATTTTTTGAGTATTCGCGAAAACTCCCCTGTCATTTCTGAGATTGTGGGTTCAATCAATTCAAAGAACGGGTTGAGGAAAGCCGGTTTGCCTATGCGACTACGCCCAAATTTTTAACACCACAAGTTATGGCCCTCGGTAAAGTCAAAATTTTCATTTCTTGGCCATTTTTTGATAGTTTTGACTTTTCTCGAAAACAACCCTGCCATATCTGAGATGTTGGGTTGAATTGAATTTACAGGTTGTGTGAACCCCTTCCGCATAAGCGGCTACGCGCTATTTTATCTCAAAAAGCTATGATTGTCGGAAATGTCAAATTTTTGATTTATTTAACGTTTTTTGGACTTTTCGCGCTAACTATCCTGCCAAATCTGATATCATAGATTTAATCGAAACAATAGGTTGTTGAAAGACTACCTTTATAATTGGCTATGCTTAGTTTGTTAAATAAGAAAATTATGGGCTTCACACAAGTCAAAATTTCGAAAATTTGACACATGTTTTGGAAATTTTTGGCTTAACGCGAAAATTACCGTGCCCATTCTCAGGTTGTGTTCAATCGAGAAACCCGGTTAGAATCTTTTTGAATTCTGAGACGAATCGAATCTGAGATGAAAAGTTCAATTGAATATACCGGTGGCTATAATTGTTCCTGCAGAAGCGGTGACTCTTTTTTGTACGAGAATTGTTATATCCATGGGAAAGTTGATTATCTCAATTTTTTTTGCTCTTCTCACTCATTTTAGCTGAGACGCATCTAAGGTTTTGGGCACCGTCCAATTTTTGAAATCATATTTTTCGTGCCACATCAGTATAGCAAATTTATTCAATATCAAACCCGTACCTCCAGTTTTAGCTGGGCCATTACCTATTTGTTATCGAGACATACGAAAATTTTGGTTCACCTATTCGATTTTTGTTTCGGCTTTGTTTTTGTTTGTTGTTGTATCGCAATTGGTGCAAAGCTCTGCTTTGCCTCTGTGTATAATTTATATAAAATCTGAGTTAGCTTTCGTTTTATTTCATCTTGAGTCCCAAATTTTTTATATGTCTCGATAAGTTGTAAAGTTGACAGACAAATAAATTTATCCCGCCTCTAAGTCTCGTTGACTTTCAAGTAAATTGCAATGATTTTTAATATGTCAGTTTTATGATTTGACGGTTTTTCGGTTTGTAGTTGCTGCAAGAATTATGTTATTTGTTTAGTTGTGACGGCGAAGCATTGTGTTGAAGATATGACGGGGGGTGAGGGTTACTACGGGGAGGCTGTTATGGACAAATTCGATAAAAGCTTCAAGTGGGACAGTGGAAGCGTTGAAATGCATCCCCAGAACATAGATGTGGCCGTGATCAGACTGAAGGACAGGATGGATCTCAGCAAAGGAGCCAAACGGATATTAGTGGCCAAGGGAGGCACGGAACCACAGAAAGAAATGCAAGTGTTTGGGTGGGGGAAAACTGAAGGCAATAACCAGGAAGAGGATCCGGACACATTACAGGTAAAACTTCTTGTAAATTTCAAACCTTGGGATAATCAAGGTTTTTGCAAGCGGGTACTATACTTACCGATCTCCATTATGTTATCAGTATATTAAATAACATCAACTGCTGAGGTAACAGCCTGTTTGGTGTAGTGGTTGCATATATTCCTTGTGTGTACGTTTGATCGTCAGTTCGTGTAATCGATCCCCTGCCATGACAATGATAATGTGCGTTGACGAGGTCTCATTTGACTGACATCTAGCTTCAGGTCTACCAATGCATTTCATAGATCCTCTGCGAATCGCAGAAACCCCAATTAGTATTATTACTATTATTATCATTATTATTACGTTTATATTTCATGCAAAATGTTACTAATTATTACGTTTATAATGTTTTCTCGGTCCGCTCAATTTCCTAATAGTTTTCGAATAATTCCCTGTGATAAAATTTTACATTGGTTAAGTTTTTACAATAACTTTTCAAAATCCAAATCAAATTTACAGACCCTTTTCGATATAAATTACAAAATGATTTCCTAATTTTTGGTCTTTACTTTTTAAAGAGTCGATGAACACAAGAAGATGAATTTATTATTTATAAGACTCTTACACAGGTCGTGATGTTTGTTTTTCAGCGAAAGACTTTAATTTTGTTTACAGTCAATTTTGATTTTTCGCGGTTTGATTTTTGATTTTTTGTAAGGTCAGTTCATTTCCTTGTTCAAAGGAAGGAAAATTCAATTATCGAGCAGCAAAAGTGCAAAGTTTACTAAAACTTGAATGAATTGTACTTTCAAAAATGGACTTAAAGTTTTTGAATTCCAAGCGGAATCAAAAAAATTAACCATTGATGCATTTTTTGCTAAATAAATTAAATTTGAAGAAAAATACCAATCCTAAACAATTTCTGAAATTCAAAGAGCTTTAACGTGATATTTGGCAAAGTTTGAAAGTTGAAAAGTGCTCAAACATTTTTAAACTATTTTTTTCAGGTTTCTTCTTATACTTATCCAGACAATAGTTGACTTAGGTTTATTATGTAGCGAAAAAATTGGGATGTTAACTTTTTCTAAGTTTTTTTTTGTTCGTGTTTTTCAAAAATCTTTTGAAGGTTAACTAAAAAAAATTAAACTAAAGAATAATATTTAAGATTTGTCGCGGTTCATTTGCTCACGTAGCTGCTCTTTCTTGTAATATACAGTGCATAGATGGTTTGGGTTTTGCGTGCCTCAAAGAAAAAGAGGGGTTAATCATGTTTTCTTACTAAAGACATATTAATCTTCATTCGGAATCGGAAAAAAGTTTTTAGTCAAGAAAAACTGGTTCGTTTTTCAGATTAAGTTACCCTCTGAGAATTTTTTCTAAATCCACTCTAAGTTTTTTCTTGTGTTTTACGCATTAATTGAGCTATTATGTCGTCCTTTAAATCTATTTTTATTGCGCTGCATTACAGAAAAACAGGCAATTTCAAAAATGTTTGAAGTTATATTATTATTATTTTTTAATTGTTCAGTTCAATCTTTCTGTGCTAATTGAGTGTCCTGATATCAGATGCTGAAATTTTCATACTGTTCACACTCCGTTTTCAGAGTGTATATGCATTTTCTACTCGAACTTTTCTTTCAAAAGAGGCTTTTTTAAGTGTTACGAAATTCAGTTTTTCGTGTATTTTTATTATGTTAGGTCTTATTTGTGTTTTTTGATAGGTTTTAAATAAAATTTCAAATAGATTCAGAAGTTCAAATATATTCAAAATGGAAGAAATTTCGAATTTTTTTTACAAGTTTTTGATTTGTATGCACTTAATCATAGTGTTGTATAATGTACGGATGATGTAGAGGCTCATCCGACATTTTTCATAGGACTCGTTTCCTAGGTTCGTTGTTTCTTCAGGTGCTCGAATTAGGTCGAGTAAAGCTTTTATCTAGATTTTTGACATATATGAACGATCTAATAATTATTGGTGTTGAGCCTTTTTCGGTTTGATGATTTTTTCTGGAAATAATCGGCTTAAGTTTTGTACTTTTTATAATTGCTAGTTATTAGCTGTTCTGGAAGTTTTGTGCATGACGAGATCTATCCAAGCTAAGAATTGATGAACGTTTGTTCAGGCTCAAATTTGTTCAAGATCAAATTTTAAGATTGAGTCTCAAATTTATTCAGGCTCAATTTTGAGTTTTTGTGGTTTGATTTTCTGAAGTTCATTTCCTTTATTGAAACGAAGGCAAACTCCCTTATCGAACAGAAATAAGGTAAATGTCATGAGAAACGTCATGAAAACTAGTGGAATTTTATTTTCAGATTTTCCTATGAAATAAAAAATTTATCTATTGATTCAGTTTTCTGAAACTGGGTCAATTTTATCGAAAAAGTGCCAATCACAAATTGTTTTAGCAATTCGAAGAGCTTTGAGGGCATCTATTTTTCTCTTTGAAATTCGAAATTTGGTATATAATTGTTCATAAAATAACTCGGTATTTTTTATCCTTTTATTTGTGTTCATTGACTTTTTTCATTGAATCGTGCACTTCAAAACCTTCTTAAAAGTTTCAATATATTCCGATAGTTCTGCTTAATTTAGATGTATTGATAAGTTCGTCAGTTGAAAAAGGAGAAGAGAAATGTAACTACGAAACTCTGTTGCCGTGTTTAGTTTGCCGAGATCTCATGGCAAGAACCCAAGACCTGCAGAGCTAGGGATTACGAGTTTTGTGCTTACGGGTCTTCTAGTGGCACTATACGAGATTCCTGTGTCGGAGACTCGGGATCTGGCGTGGAGTGCACATCCAGTAATGGTGTGTGCATGTGTTAAGTTGTCAATCAACGCAGCGAAGACACTTAGATAAACCGTGTTCATATCTTTTTTTCAATTTTTTTTTCAATCGATGCTGTTTTGCAAAGACGTTTTTAACATGTTCAGATTCGCATTTTTGTTTCCGCAGATTATTTTTTCTACCCTTGCGACTAGCAAAGGTATTGCAACTATTAACTATACTTTGTTTACAGGGTGACTGAAATTGGTCATACCTTTAATTTAAGTCTTTTTACAAATATCGCAAATATTACAGTTCATTTTGTACACAAGCAAAGCTTGACTGATTTTGAAAGAGTTCATTTTGATCAATAACCAGCTATTAAGTACAGCCAATGCTAAGGATATTAACGCAGACTATTATATTACAATTATCACTTAAAAGTCAAGGTATCATGGATCTGTAGCGAAGAGGTAGGGAAGGAGACCAACAACAAAATCAGAGGGTTCGAACCTGGGCAAGGTCGGATGTTTTTAATGAAGTTTTTCGTATACTAGTTAAAATGCGTCCGCTCTATAATTGAGGCTTGTTGGTAAATTTCTTTTTTTTCAAATTGACTGGTACTGCTAATGCATCATAATTGGCTTGCGTCGCTTAGCAATTATTAAGACTCATAATTGGCGTGCGTCCCATAAATTTTGTAGACTCAAAGTTTTACTCTTTCCGTTTTCCCCAGTAGCATTATCGGTCATATTTTTGCTTGTGTATGCGAAGTGCAACTTCGCCTCTGTGTTAAATCTTAAATTGGTTCGTAATGCATTACTAATGAATCCAGAGCGAAATTTACAATAGATTTTTGGTCGGCTTTATGGATTTCATTAAGTCATTTTTTTTAATTTTTGCAGTTGAGTTTCGATTAAATGTCGCTGTTGTTCCATAGGTTTTTAGAATATAGTTCTTTAATACTCTTATACCAGATCTACTTATTACACAGGATATTATTAATTTTGATCCAAGAGGTTGATAAAAATCTTGAAAAAAAAAACGCTTCGAATATACAAAGTTGTCAATCTTCGCACTATTAAAAATTATCAAACTTGGCAAAAAGTTTCCATCTGGAAATCCGACTTCTATCTACTGCAACCAATATTGACTGTATCAGCGCTGCCTCTTTCAAAAAATACGTTATGGTTGCTTCATATTTATATAATCTTTTATTATATAAATAAATGTGTCCACATGTTCAAGAGTCGACTCAACTTTTCTTTTTTTTGCGATTTGAATTTCGATTTTTTTTTCGAAGTTCAATTTGTTCCCTTTGTTAAAAGGAAGGCAAACTCCACTATGGAAAAGCGAAAGTGTATATGTCACGGAAAACATGATCGACTTCTTCATTCGAAAGTGGAATGTAGTTATCAGATTTGCCAGTGAAATGAAAATTTTTCCTATGGGCCAATTTTCTAGAATTGGGGCAATTTTTTTTATCAAAAAACGATCAACAATAAATTTTTCTTAAAATTTAAAGAGCTTAAAGACCATCTACCTTTTTTTCTGGGAAGTTTGAAAGTTGAGATATCAAAAAAAAGTCATTTTTTTAATGTTTACTTGCATTTCTTGCATGTTGGCTATGTTTTTCCACGCAAAATCAGGTACCCCAATTAACCAGTGGTATGGGTCGAGTGATATATCATATTATAGCCCCTTTTTGATTGGAACGACAAGAAAAAACTTTTTTAAATGTTTTCCCTGTGTTGAGAAAAACTGGTTTGAAACTTTTGAGCTTCAGTATAATTTAAGCAAATAACGCAATCGAGTAATGTTTGCTAGACCTATTGATCCAGTTTTTACGACTTTAGGAACGTAGTTGAGACTTTTATACAAGTCGTGATTATTTTTTTAGGAAAAGTCATAAAACTTGTTCAGGCTCAAATTTACTTTTTCGCGGTTTGGTTTAGCTTTGAAGTTCAGTTTATTTGTTGTGTTAAAAGAAAGGAAAACTCCACTATCGAACAGCAAGTTTAAAGGTCTCCAAAAATGTGATCGACTTCTAGTTTCGAAAGTGGAATTTAATTTTCAGGTTTCCCACTAAATAAAACTTTTCTTTTTTTTTCCAGTTTTCTTGGGTTACTTTGATCAAAAAGTGTCAATCATAAATTGCTCGAAAATTTCAAAGACTACTTGTATTACAAAAAAGAAAAATTTAAAACAGATTTTAAAATGTTTTTTTTTCAAGGGGAGAAGTACTTATGTGGAGTGGTATCCATGGGCCCAGGCCCCCCGAATTGTGGAACAACACCTGGAAAATACGTGAAAATTGGCTACCCAAGTGTTTCAGAGTTCATACTGAGTGAAAATAGATCTTTCGCTGTAGCCCTGAATGCGCAGATGGTCCTTGTGTTTCTGCTTTCTATGATTAAAACCGTTTTCTAGATACTGTGCTGCTATACCAGTTATCACTCGCACTTTATTGAGTTATCGTTTCCGAGATAGCATCTTAAATCATACGCTGATTGCAGATTAAATAATGAATCAATTCTTTTCAAAATTTTACAGTTCCTCGGAAAATTATAGATTCTTACAATCAAAAAGAATGTTTATTTTAGAGCTGTGGTTTGGCAGTAAAACACTTATTACTCTTGCGATAAGCAGGGGAATTGCAATCTGGTACTAGACTTTTTTCCCATTAATAACTTTGTTCACAGAATAGTCAAAGTTGCAAATGATAAATTTAGGTTCAGTTTATGATAAATTCAAATTACTCTGCGTCTCTGGCACAGTTGGTCTGGAGGTAACGAATACGCCTGGGACGGCAAAGATGTTGGGTTCGAATCCGATAGGACCTGTTTTTTTTCAACCAGAAAGTATTTCGTTTCAAAAAAAGATTGTCGCTTATGTTTTGTTGGCTTAGTTGCCACATCGTAGAATTGTTTTTCTATGTACGCAAGTTGCATAGTATTTGCTTTTAGTCTTCAGATTTTTTTCTGATATTTTTAGTTTTACTAACCTTGACATTTTCTTTTTCTTTTTGCTTTTTTCGCTTGAAAGTTTATTCTGCCCAAATGATTTCGGCTTATATGTTATCGGCTTATTGACCTGTTTTTGAGTAATTTCGAGGTAAATATAATTTTAATGCTCTCCTTTGGATCGCACAGAATGCGAAAATTCTTAATATAATTTAGTTTATCATGACAACAATTTTTTTGTTTTTACTTTTTATTCCGCTTGGTAGGTTTCGGCCGATATAAAATTGGCTTAATGGCCTCATATTGCATCTTTCGACTAGCAAGAACAGTTTGTTGTGCGTCTGTGTGTCTTTTAGGGTGAGGGGGACTCAATAACTTTTAATTTGTCATAATATTTTTTTTTGATTTTTTCCGTTTTTTTATAGGTTTTTTCGGCATTATAGGTTTCGGCCTATATTAAATCACTTTAGAGACCTCATTTTGTTGCATTTGACGAAAAAATAAAGTTTTGTGTGTGTATGTGTGTGTTTGAGGGTGGATGGGACTTGATAACTTTTTGTGTCTTAAGTCTTGTTGATTTTTTTGTCTAAAAGGTTTCTGCAAGGTATTTTCGGCGTTGTTACCGCTTGATCAACTTTGTTCCGATTCTAATTTCTCATTCTAAAGTCTTGGCATGTGTTTGTTTTAAAACTGGCCTATTTAATTTTGATAGATTTAGTTTTTTGACATTTTTCGTTTTTTTTTGTTACGGTTTTTTTTGTATCGCAATTGATGCGAAGCTCAGCTTCGCCTCTGTATCAAATATTAGATGATTGAACGGTTTAATTGTTGTGTTGAAAACCAAGATCAATTTTTAAGAATCAATTGTCAAGCCTTTCGCATAACTTGTTTAATTGAAATATTTTGGTTCTTTTCTAGCAATATATGTCAAAATTTAAGAAGATGAAACTGCTTTCGTTAACCTTCTGATTCAAGCAAAATGACCTGAAAACAGAATTTACCAAAATTGAAGACGGTGAAAGTACGATTTCAAAGTCTATCTGAAGTTGAGAGTTGATTAATTCAGTTTCACAATCCTGAACATGGGCTATTAACCACTTACCTATTCGATACGGCTATTCAAATTCGATTTGCTATCACCATTGACCAATCCGTTTATCATTTAAACAATGAGAGACTAAACTTGATTATGATTTGTGGAAAATGAATAAATAACTGATTAATAAACAATACTGAGGCTGAAATATATTAACTGTGATTTAAAACCAAAACGGTCATAAAACTATCATCAACAGGGAACAAAACATGTTTAATTCAACTATCTGCATTGTCTTTTGAACTTAGTTTGAACGTAATCTGAGACTCAAGAGAGGATGTAGCATCTATTGGATAAAGATTGCGCGATTATTTTGCTTGGGATCCGAGGTCCACTAAATTGATTCTCCGAGCTCTCCTCGAGCCACTAAGAAGGCTATGCTACGTGTTCCGAAAATCGTCAGTAGATTGACGTAACTTGTTTTGCCGAATTACGCAATTTTTTCACTTTCAATATAGCATCTTGTTATTAGAAATATCTGGGCTGTGAATTGGGATTGACTTTATGAGTTTCCCAATCTGTATAACTTTCAAGATATGATTTTTTGCTTTTTTTGAATAATTTTATTCCATTGATTTACACAAGCAAAGCAATTCGCAAATAGAAGTAGTATGTATGGAAAATGTAAGTTTGTTACGTTTTGTTACGTTTTCATGTAATGCACAACTCACAATTCACTGGTAATCGTGATTTAGACTTTCTCATAAACAACTTTTCTTACAAATCTGAACCTTATCAACTTCCACGCTCGTCCCCCTTTGGTTAATGCTGGTGGATATTTCTCGACTGTTTTTTTAAAAAACAATATGAAGTCATGTTCAGTATTTTGCATTAAAATTATGCGAAAACTTTTTCCTGTAAGTCTAAAAGTCTAAAGAAATTGTCGTAGAGAATAATTGAAATTCGTAAAAGACATTTTCATGTTTATTTTTGAAAGACAGGTTAGGCATGCTGTATCACCTCAAAGTTCCTTAAACAGGTTTTACTCGATTTTGTTTAGTTATAGATTGATTTCTTATACATTGGCGTTTTTCAGGTTAGTTTTCTTTCAGATGCTAAAATGTGTTGGCAGTAGACACCGAAGCTTTGATTCCGAATGTTTGTGGTGTTCATTCCCAGGTGTGCTGTGAGCACTGACTTGGCAGTCGCAATCGCCAGTTTCATATCCAGTCTAACAGACACCAAGAATGAAGTGGTCGAGAACGGATTCCTGATTGAAAGGCAGCAAGATGCACTGAAATTGCTTCAAGTGTGCAAGTCAATCAAAGTCAGTCGATTCAGAAGTGTGGCTAACGCGGTTGAAGCTAAAAGTTTCTTGAGTCTATGCGTGGCAAAGTTTCTGTCTCCGAATGGAGATTTAAAGTCAGAGTTGGAACTTCGTGAAGCTTTTTTGGTTCCAGGGGATTCAAAAGCGACTACCGATGTGAACAAGGAGAAGTCTTTGTTCCACACTCCGAAGCCGTATGAGTTTATTGCGCTCAAAAAAGCAATACTTTTAGGTTAGTTTTCAAGCAGCATTGATCTGAAAGTTTTTATAATTTGTATCGAAGTCAGGGGAGCGGCGCTTTAAATGGGGGAATTGTAAAAAGTTTTCGTTTTGTTTGCTCATCGGTAACCCAACGAAATAGCAATTATTGGTAAATCTTGAAATGGCTTCATTCCAAAATATCGGAAGCTTCTTTTTGGATTAGTTCTCTAAGTGGCACATGCAAAAGTTCTGCGGAGCTATTAGTGTTTTTCAGCTGAAACCGATTTTCAGAGAACAAAATAGCCTTCGAGATGCTAATTTGATAGTGATGAAGATTGATCCGTTTTATTTAGATGATGTGAAAACATTTGGCGCTCTTGTTTTGGGGAACCCGCTCTACTTGGTGACCTCAAGCGACACATGCACAATTCTACATGACGGAGCAAGGTACAATGCCATGCATATGTGTGCACAGAAAAACCGAAAAATGGTTGCACACAATCTCATCAATGTCATATCGAGTTCTGCCTTCTGGGAGCTGCTATACCCCAACGACATAGACAGCTCGCGACTGAACAGAATGAATTATATGCTAGACCTGTATTTGAATACTCCGGATAAGCATTGCGGAGAAACTGCCCTTCATTTTGCAGCCAAGTTTGGCTTCCAAGATATGCTGGAATTGATATCATCTCATCCTAGAACGTCTAGGAATCCACAAAACATTAACGGATTGAAGCCCAGTCAAGTCTGCGGTCTAAGGTGCACTGGATTTATTCCGAAGTTCAATATAGATGCTGGACCTTGTTACGTTGGATGTTATGTTTCAGCAAGTGATTTGTCCATGTTTAAATTCAAATTGCTTAGTCCCGATTTTGATGAAAAAGCTAAAAGTCACAATGATTCGGTGAGGCAAAAGAGAAACGGTTTGATCGATTTTGAAACTGATTTTGAGCTAGAAGCCTATATCGGACCTGCGACTGAAGCCAAATGCAAAGCTATAATGACCGACCTACAGAAAAGGAAACGCTCCATAATTGTCAACTATGTATCAAAAATGTCGAAGTTTTTGAGCTACAGAAAAATGAGGTTCGAAATTTGTCGCGATGCTAAAGTTCGTCTAAAAGAAAAGTTTTTGGCCTCGGATAAATTTCTCAACGTTTCTGATAATTTAGTGAATTTGATTCAACAATGCGAGTTGTTTTTACACAGCGAAAACAAGAAATTCTTTAATACTTCTATCTCACAACAGCTTGAACTCTCGTTTTCCAAGCTGCATTCTAAATTTGAAGAATTGAATTGTTCTGCTGCTGATTCCTCATTAGGCTCATTGACGGCCAGTTTTGCTAATTTGAATATTGATTCGAGTTTCAATCAGAGTTTTAACCTAAACGACAGCATGATGCCGAGTGTGAATGGAAGTTGTGCGAGTATCCTTTCGGATACTTGCCACGATGACCTTAGTAGTTTGGATACGAAGTTTAGAACTTGGAATGAGCTTGATGATTCAAACGATGATTTCAAGACACCTCCTGCTTCGCCTGTGGCCAATTTCGTCGATGCGATTGATACTCCATTCATTTCATTCTGCAATTGTGAGCCTACAGAGTTCTGGCAACACTCGGAGCTGCTGTCAGTGTTGAATAACTACCTTATCAGTCAGTATTTCGAATATGTGAGTGAACACGATCCCACTCAAACAGAAAGTTACCCTTTATTGTCATCCTGGTGTCAAAAACTGAAGAGCGCTTCATCCGATATCCTTGCCGATAAAAGCACAAAAACTAGCTTGAATTGCAAAACCTGTAAATATTGTGTTCACGAGAAATTCAATGTATTTGCGAGTTTGAGTGATTTTGAATTTGACCCTTTTTGTTTATATTTGAACTAAAATTAACTAGATTAGATTTTAAAAACTTTTTTTTTGAGCGATTGATCTCGATTCTTTTTCCAGAAAAGGTTTCTTTTTTTTTCTACGATTCCAAGAAAGTTTGTAGGAGTGGTATCACTTAAAGGGGATCATGTTAACTATCCCCCCCTATTGCAATAGGGGGAAATTGTTAACCGGTTTGGATGAAATTGTTAACCGGTTTGGATTCCTTACAAGGTACCATAGGGGGAAAACAGTTAACATGATCCATTAAAAGCTGCTTTATTGGAGTGTCTGGTATTTTAAAATAGCCTATTATAGTTTTAAAATAGAATTGATGGATATGGCTTCCTTAGCTTGAAGTTGGACAGAAGTTTCACCTATGATCATTTTTGCAAAGCTATGCGCGTTTGAAAATTGTCAAATTGGACTTATCTTGCTCTTTTTTAACAGTTTTCTATTAAAGCATCGCGTATGCAGCATAAATCCGGCTCAGAAATCACTTTGAATTGAATTGAGGCAAGCTTTTTAGTCTCATTAATGCGTTACTTAATGAGGAAATTCTTTGAAATTTTTGCAGGCTGTGAGGGAAGGGAGCATTTAAAAGCTTGTGAGGTATGTAAAAGCGTGTTGATCAGAGCGTGGTGGTTCAAGATAAGTTTACAAGCGTATGGGAGGAGACTTCGAGTTTCTCTTAGATGTGACGTTGTTTTGATTTTTTTTTTTCAAAATTTCTCCATGAAATTATCTACAAAGAAGTTCGCAAAATTTGAAACTACCAACTTGTTGAAGACACTACCTTATTTTCAGCGTATACCCAGGTTTCTCAATTCTTGCCTCTAACCTGAATGCTCAAATCCTTTTAGTTTCCGAGATAAGAAGTATTTTTTATGATTTATTCAATTTTTGTCGGGAATCTTAAGTTTAGAAAAATTCACGAAATTTGAAATTCCCAACCGTATAGTAGGGTGCTATCAGGGGCTCTCAGTGATTGCAAATCTGGGCTCCAAATTTCTCCACAGGCATATTAAGTTTTCAAGATGGCGCTTTTATGGTTTTTCAAAATTGGAATTAAAAAGTTTGAAATTACCAACCCTGTAATTGGGTGCAGTCAGAGTACACTGAAAGTTTGCAGATATTGTTTCCAATATATGCGGTATTTCATGAGCTGTCTCAAAAATTCAAAGCACCAGAGGTGCGTTAAACGCTAGTTGGTTATTATCAGAAGTCGCTAGTGTTTCAAGACAGTTTATTGGGCATAGTTGTTTCGTCAAGTACCATCCTAACGTAAGGAAGACTCTGATTCCATGCGTTTTTCTGTTCATTTGTTTTTTGAATTAAATTGAACAAGTTAGTAGTGAAAATTGAGATTAAACTTAGATCTAAGCATGACCAATTATTTGCAAAAAAAGTTTCCTGAGAATCGCAGTTAGCACCAAATGATTGCAATACCGGTCGATCAATATTTGACAAAGCCCTGAATATTCGGGCTGCCTTTCATGCTTATCTTTCTCTTGAAGTCTCTTTTCTGCTACCTGCAACGTGAACTACAAATTAAGTAACTTAAATAAGTAAGGCGTTTATTATTGCTTGCACCAATAGTGACTCCGCCGTATCGTTTGAGTAGAAAACGTGAAAGATGAGGGCGTATTAATTTGTTAGTCTAAATTTCAAACCATGCTAACTGGTGCAAAAGAGCAAAGTTCAGACCCGATAAAATGTTTGCGGGTGAAATGTTTTCTGCTTTCAATTCAATTCTGTTAGAAAAAAAAACGATTATTTCGGGAGTCGCTGATTGTCTGGACAAGAAAAAGCATACTGAGCGAAAATGCTCAGTGACTGCGAGCAAGCGTTACGAAATCGGAGCATAGATTTTTTGTCATGTTATTAATTTGTCTATCAGAATCAGAGGATCATTTGATAGCATGACCTATAACAAAACTGAACATATGATTGTTGTTCTGCACATAAGTGCAGAGGTAAGGTCCGTGTTTATGACAACAAAGACCAAGAGTTCGAATCCGGCCAGGACCTGTTCTTCAGCAACTGAAGTTTTTCGCTTGAACAAATAACGGTAGGCATATCGTTAGTATGCGTATGCTTTTTTGTTGTCTTCGTCGCATCAAGGATGTGCACAAAAAGCAAGCATAATAAATAACTTTTCTTGTGATTTAAGGAATTTTTACTATTATTATTTCAATTTTTCATGATATCAGTTTTGTTTTCAGTTCAACTGATATCTTATTTTGTCTGCTTAGTTCCTGCTCGATAATTTTTGAATGCTTATTTTACGCTGGCTATTGTGTTTGGCGAAATTTTTCTCTCAAATTGCACGTCATTTGAGACAAATATGAATTGTTTGCAGATGTAGTTTTGGCATTTTTACGCTTGCGAAAAAAGTGATTGGATTTAAACAACATAACAAAAATGAAAACTCGATTTCAGAAGTTTTCTAACTCAATATATCTCGGAATGTTTTTCAAATGCATAATCTATACATAATTTTTTTAAATGGTTTTCGGTTTAATACATGCAAATTTAGTTTAGATGCCTTCAGGTTCTTATATTCCAAATGATTACTTGCAAAGATAAGTCTATTTGTATTTGGTGCCCACTTTGCTGAATTGCATTGGTAATTGATTAGCATATGTAGCTGCTTCATTCTTAACTAGTGTTTGTCGTTTGTCAAGCTTACGTGGCTGAGTGGATAGTGCGTGAGACTCAAAATCTTTTGGTAGCAGTAGGTCGCAGATTCGAATCCTAGACGCAGCCGAGTTTTCGCTAATTCGAGGCTTATTTCTACTTTTTCTTATTTCACTTGATAGAGCTGCTTTGCTACTTGATAGAGCGCAGCTTCGCCTCTGTGTCCAATTGCTACTTTTATAATCGATGTAATGGCTTCCGTCTCATTATCGGTCAACTCGCTCACAATGCTATGTTTGCGAAGCTCCGTTTGGGAGTTTTTCTGTTTTCCTGTAATGGTGGGAGTTTTTGTTCCAAGAAAATTTCACATCTAAGATTTTAACACAATATATTTATGAGTCTTTTTTCATTCTTTTTGTCTGAAGAGAGCAATGAATGGAGATCAAAATTTTTAATTTAATGATTTTGTTTGCAATCAGGTTGTTGATAAGATAATCAACCTTGCGATAAGGTTGTTGCAATCGGGTTTTGGTTTTTTCCTTGAATAGCTTTTTTCTTGATCGATTGAAATTGGTTTTCTTCTCCATCTATACTTTCGTCAACGAAATGACAATTTTTTTGAGCATGTCTCCATTTTATGTGCCCGTTCTAAATTTATTTTATGGTGGTTGTAAGTTAACCAACTCCGATTTCAGTATATACATTTTTTTTATTATTTTTTTCTTTGGTTTCTCTTTATTCGGATTACCAGGTTTCGGCCTTACTATATCGGCTTAGAGGCTTCTTTTTGAGGAGCAAAAAAACTTGTATCTAAATGTTTTTAAGGAGGACCTAATAACTTTTCTTAATTTGAAAATTTTCGGGGAATCGTGCGGAATTGTCGGCTTTATTACCGGTTTGTAGATTTTGTTTTGATGCTTGTTTAACATTCAATTTTCTTACTTCCTGATACATTGCTTCAAAATTAATCTATTTTCAAGACAAAATCAAGATAAATGAAAGAACATGTATGGTAGATCAATTGTTTCGGTGTTTTTACGGCGGCTTTCATCTCTATTGCTGTCGGTTAGTATGTCATGCTATGTATGTGTTGTATCGCACGTAGTGCAAACCTTCGCTTCGCTTGTGTTTGTAAATTTTCCAAAGGTGCAGGTAATTCAGTTCCAAGAGTTTGGATTTTTTTTGCTATTTTCTTAATTTTTTAAATTTTGATTTGTCAATTTGTCGGTTCATGTACAAGTAGTGATAGTCATTCATTTTTGCATCGCAATAAGTGAGAAGCTATATGTGAGAAGTATGAAATATTATGCAGTTTTTCACAATTTTTACGCCTGGTTTTGGCATATATTTTTTGCATGGATGTGAGGGAACAATAAGCTATTAACTTAATGCAGTCAGTTTTCGTTGGCCGATAGATCTGATGGTTACACGTCGATTTGACCAGGACAACTTATTCATTGACAATTTTTCCAATCTAAATTTGTTCCACATTCGAACTTTTCCTTTGCCAGCTTGTCACAGAATTCAGATCGCAGAAGATCTTTGTAAATGTGTCGGTGTCGCTGAAAAATGATTTTCTCGAGTCTTACTGCATGTAAGGTAATGGTTTTGCGCGGTATTGTAGTACTCTGAAGCACTTGATTTCCTACTTCGAGTCCCGATTGATGAATGATAATTTGGTTGTTAGTTACGGCCCTAGTTTGAATATCTTTTGGATATTGGCCGGTAGTAGTCATTCTTAACACCATCTGGAAATCTGAAAAGTTTTGATATTATCAGCATTAGTTATTTCAAAAAAGCTGAAACCTTACGGTGACAATTTAATGGTGATTTTCTTGTAAAATTATACGCCCAGAATTTTGATGTTTTAAAAGTGAATTAAAGTCAACTTCCGCATTGCCTCATGATTCGAATTTTTTGCCTCATGATTCGAATTAGTTCGCCAATTTCAATCACGAGGCTAGTTGTTTTAGCAGCCAGACCTTCTGCATATCTTAATGCTCTCAAGACAGTACTTTTGCTATACCGTTCTTTGACCAGACCAGACTAAAACAATTTAGACAGTCAGAACACTTCCGGCGCTACTTTGGCATATAGGAAAAGCTTGCTCTAATTTTCTCTGCATTGTTTTGCTCAGTTTTTCCGCTGTTCGCATACTTCGCAAAAGAATCTTGGTTGATCGTTTCAAAAAAAATGTCACTGACATGATTGTTTTAGTTGGTAAAAAAGTTCCCGTTAAAACAATTATCTTATGAAAGACCTTATTTTAATTTTTAATGGCGTAAGTTGTCTCCCGTCTTATGCTTTTTGTTCAAATTGAAAACTGTCTGTTTTTTGCAGAAAAATGATTGATGGTCTTTGATATTAATTCAAAATGGGAACGATTGTTATCAGCATTGTCGTTCATCAAGCGTTATAGACTGCAGCTACTGGTGGCTGCATAAGAACCAGCCGAATTCTTGGAGTCCGTTTTTCGGGTAGGATAGTAATGATGGGAAGTGACGGCAATAACAAGAGTTATCCGAAATGGCCTTCAACCAGATTCAGCCTGGCTCTTCTGGGCTGGATTGGGTTTGCACTCGTTTATGCTATGAGGGTGAACTTGAGCATTGCTATTGTGAAGATGGTGGAGGAGCCGCCGCTGAAACACAACCGAGCTAACGAAGCGGAGAATAAACTACTCAATGAGCTCTCAGAAGGTTTGCTTGTTACACCAATATTAAGAGAGACTAATTGAAAAACAAGGGGATCGATTAACGTGTGAGTTGTAAGGTATTATATAATCATTTTTTGTTCCGACTTTCGAAGAAAACAAAATATTTATGCTCGGTGTAGTTTTTTTCGGCGATCGAAAAGTCAATTTTCGGCGATCGAAAGAATAGTTTTCGACAAAATTTTTTATACCCCATTGAAGATATCCACTTCCTGAGTTCAAATTTAAAAAGATATTTTTCCTGTGATTATCTATCTATTATTTAATTGGCGTTTCACGTGATACATGTTTAAGAAGTCCCTATGTTGACGTGTTTAAGAATTCCCTATTTTTGCCTGTTTTAGTTTTTTCAACGTATTTTTTTTTTGCATATTTAACGAAAATTTTTTTGCACGTTTAAGCTATACCGTAGGTTAAAATGCTTAAGAAATTTCATTTGGCTCATGTTTAAGTCTGTTGGTCTGTTACAAGGCCATTGCAAAATTTGAAAATTTTATATATACATACGTTCTATACATTCCTCTATAGTGGGGTGCTGTTAAGTACATTTAGGGGTTGCAAATCTGGCGTTCAAGTATGACTGCTCAAATCCTTATATTGTTCGAGATATGGCGTTTTTATGTTTTTTTTTCAAAACACGTGGATATTAAAAAACTAACCGAAATTGAATTTCTCAACCCTATAGTAAGGTGCTGTCAGGGTACATTCAGGGGTTGCAAATCTGGCGTCCAAGTATGACTGCTCAAATCTTTTTGGTTTTCGAGAAATTGCGTTTTTATCTTTTTCTTTTTTTTTCCAAAAATATTTAGATATAAAAGAAATTAGATACAAAAAACTAAACGAACTTCAATTTCTCAACCCTATAGTGGGGTGCTGTCAGGGTATATTCAGGAGTTGCAAATCTGGCGTCCAAGTATGACTGCTCAATTCCTTTTGGTTCTTGAGAAATGGTGTTTTTATGATTTTTTTTCAAACATATAAAAAGAATTAACCGAACTTCAATTTCTCAACCTTATAGTGGGGTGCTGTCCGGGAACAATCAGGGTTTGCAAAACTGGAGGCCTGGTATGACTGCTCAAATCCTTTTGGTTTTCGAGAAATAGCGTTTTCATTGATTTTTTCATTTTTTTCAAAAAATTTAGCTAAAAAATAATTAAACGAACTTCAATTTCTCTTCAGTATAGTGGAGTGCTGTCAGGGTACAATCAAAGGTTGCAAATCTGGAGTCCAAAAATGATTGCTCAAATCCTTTTGGTTTTCGAGATATGGCGTTTTTTATGATTTTTTCATTTTTTTTGCAAAAAAATTTAGATATAAAAAATCTTAGATACAAAAAACTAACTGAACTTGAATTTCTCAACCCTATAGTGGGGTGCTGTCAGGGTACATTCAGGAGTTGCAAATCTGGCGTTCAATTGTGACTGCTAAAATTCTTTTGGTTTCGAGAAATTGCGTTTTTTTTTCCAAAAAACTTAGATGTAAAAAAAATTAACCGAACTTCAATTTCTGAACACTATAGTGGAGTGCTGTCAGGGTGCAATCAGAGGTTGCAAATTTGGAGTCCAAGTATGACTGCTCAAATCCTTTTGGTTTTCGAGATATGGCGTTTTATGATTTTTTCATAGTTTTTTTTCAAAAAAAAAATAGATATAAAAAAACTTAGATACAAAAAAAAACTAACCGATGTTGATTTTCTCAACCGTATAGTGGGTTGCTTTCAAGGTATATTCAGGAGTTGCAAATCTGGCGTTCAATTGTGACTGCTCAAATCTTTGGTTTGCGAGAAATTGCGTTTTTGTGATTTTTTAGTTTTTTTCCAAAAAATTTAGATATTAAAAAACTAACCGAACTTGAATTTCCCCACCCTATAGAGGGGTGCTATCAGGGTACATTCAGGGTTTGCAAATCTGGCGTCCAAGTATGACTGCTCAAATCCTTTTGGTTTCGAGAAATTGCGTTTTTTATGTTTTTTCATTTTTTTTTTGAAAAAAACGTAGATGTAAAAAATTTAACCGAACTTCAATTTCTCAACCCTATAGTGGGGTGCTGTCAGGGTACATTCAGGTGTGTCAACTCTGGAGTCTAAGTATGACTGCTCAAATCTTCTTGGCTTTCGAGAAATTGCGTTTTTTATGATTTTTTCATTTTGTTCTCAAGAAAACTTAGAGATATAAAATAAAAAAATTAACCGAACTTCAATTTCTCAACCGTATAGTGGGGTGCTGCCAGAGTACATTCAGGGGTTGCAAATCTGGAGTCCAAGAATGACTGCTCAAATCCTTTTGGTTTTCGAGATATGGCGTTTTTTATGATTTTTTCATTTCATGTTTTTTTTTCTTCAAAAGTTAGATATAAAAACTGACCGAACTTGAATTTCTCAACCTTATAGTGAGTTGCTGTCAGGGTACATTCAGTGGTTGCAAATCTGGAGTTGAAGAATAACTGCCCAAATCCTTTTAGTTTTCGAGACATGGCGTTTTTTATGATTTTTTTTTCGTTTTTTGTCAAAAAATTAAGATATAAAAAAAACTTATCGATTTTGAATTTCTCAACCCTATAATGAGGTACTGTCAGGGTACATTCAGGGGTTACAAATCTGGAGTCCAAGTATGACTGCTCAAATCCTTTTATTTTTCTAGAATTTTGGTTTGTCTGTTTTCTGAAGACCTGATTTTGTAGCACCGGAGGTGCGATTGACGCGCTAGTTTTTTGTAATGTTCTGGGAGTTTGAAAATTGCCAAATTGGCCATGTTATGTTCTGGACTAAATTATGCGCGCTTTGAAGAATTTATATTACTGAGAGCGTAATGCGAATTATTCATGCATGGCGGATTATCCCGCACAAAAAAATCGTTTCAAATTGAATTGAGGCTAGCTAATCAGATTGGCGCCTTATTTTCGTACGACTCAGCATTTCACACTTTGATATTGTCCAAAATTCATAGGTTTTCAATATTTTCGTTTCCCAAAAACTGCTTGTTATGAATTAAGGGACAGTCAGAATGTTCAGGGCTTTACTTTGATATGCGAGCAGTCTTGTTTTCATTTCATTTCTATTTGATAAAAACAGGAATAATGAAAATGTGCTCGATGAAAATGTGCACACATTGAAATGGCCAATGAATTCAATTGCTTCTTTTCGACAATAGGAACTAATCTAGCTAGTGAAATTCCAGTGCGAAAAAAAGGTCATAGGCAGGAAGAGTCCAGTCTCTGTGAGTTTAATTATCTTGTAGATTCAATTATTTTATTGAAGCAGAATAAAACATCTGGCGTAGAAGAAATTAACAGTTTATTTATTAAAGCTTGCCGTTCAGAAACTGTACCCTTTTTGAGAAAACTTATTGATTTTTTTGGAAAACGGGATCCCTTACTATTTTATTGACCCAAGCGGGAGTGGGAGTGTTTAAAGGGGGATCGAAGCTAGATGTTAAAAATTACAGTCCCATCTCTGTTCTTACCAGCTGGAGCAAAATTTTTGAAAGAGGAATGTACAGCAGAGTGTAAGAAAATAACTGTTTGATTTACGTGAATTACTTGGGCGTCGGTAAAAAACAGGGTACTTTTGATGCAATTGCAGAAATGACTGAAAAAATGTGTCTAGATTAAAGTACAGTTATTAAAAAATCTGATCTTTTTCACTTGAAAAAGACTTCGATACCCTCGACCGTTTCAAATTATTTGAAAATTTAGAAATGTATGGTGTTAGTGATATAAATTTTCTCTGGGTTGAAACAAATTCGACAAAATCGTTTCAAATTGAATTGAGGCTAGCTAATCAGATTGGCGCCTTATTTTCGTACGACTCAGCATTTCACACTTTGATATTGTCCAAAATTTAAAGGTTTTCAATATTTTCGTTTCCCAAAAACTATTCGTTATGAATTAAAGAAGGACAGTCGGAATGTTCAGGGCTTTGCTCTGATATGCGAGCAGTCTTGTTTTCATTTAATTTCTATTTGATTAAAACATGTACAATGAAAAAGTGGTCGATGAAAATGTGCACATATTGAAATGGCCAATGAATTCGATTGCTTCTTTTCGACAATTGGAACTAATCTAGCTAGTGAAATTCCAGTGCGAAAAAAAGGTCATTGGCAGGAAGAGTCCAGTCTCTGTGAGTTTAATTATCTTGTTGATTCAATTATTTCATTGATGCAGAATAAAACATCTGACGTAGATGAAATTAACAGTTTAATTATTTAAGCTTGCCGTGCACAAACTGTACCCACTTTGAGAAAGCTTATCGCTAATTTTGTAAACGGAATTCTTTATCACTTTTTTTGACCCAAGCGGGATCCTTTGAAGAGGGATCGAAGCTTGATGTTAAAAATTACAGTCCCATATCTGTTTTTACCAGCTGGAGGAAAATTTTCGAAAGAGGGTTGTACAACAGAGTATAAGAAAATACCTGTTCAATTTACGTGAAACATTTCGCCGTCGGTAAAAAACAGGGTATTTTTGATGCGATTGTAGAAATGACTGAAAAAATTTGTCTAGATAAAAGTATTTATTAAAAAATCTGTTCTTCTTCACCTGAAAAAGCCTTCGATACCCTCGATCGTTTCAAATTATTTGAAAGTTTAGAAATGTATGGTGTTAGGGATATAGATTTTCTCTGGTTTGAAAGGTACCTAAAGCAACGAATGCAAAATGCAAGATCGAAAATTCCAACTCCTGGTTAAACTTGAATTGCGGTGTACCTCAAGGTTCATTTTTGGGGCCTCTCCTATTCTTATTTTACATCAATGACCTTCCCAAGTTTTCAATAACTATGATTTTTATCTTTTCGCGGATGATACTAACGTAACTGGAATAAATTGTTCTCGTGAAAGTTTAAATCAGGATCTCTGCGCAATAGAGAAACGGTTAATTATTAGTGAATTATCGCTCAGTATGAATTTATCAAATAATAGTGCGTCCATTTCTGATCTTTCTATGAGGTGTAAAACATTCAAGTATGCTCCTTCATGTAAATTTTTTGTGTTTACCTAGATTCTCAACTTTCTTTTGCGTCTCATATTGATTTTGTCCGAACGAAACTCAGAACACAATGTGGTATCATTTATTAATTGTCATTTTGGTCCTAAATCAGTGCTTCTTGAATAATTATGCTCGATTATCAAACCAATTTTGCAATAAGGAAAACTCGTTTATAGTTGCACCAGCCATACATTGTTATTGCCTCTTATGAGGCAAAATAAAGATAATTAGGTTCATTTTTTCAAATAAAATTACGAAATCATTTCGGCTAGTCTTTGTGAAAGAAAAAATACTAATTGTTCGTTCATGAGCTATATATAAATACCAGTTCATCAAAGTTGTTTTGAGATTTTTGTGAGGAATTCACTCAGAAAAGTTTTTGATTAATTTGTACCAATTTGAGTTTTCTCTGTTTGGTTGCTTGTTTTTCGAAGTATTTATTGCAATTTGTTACGATGAGAAAGAAATTTTTCTTCTTCCAATGTTTAGCTGACCATTTTTACACCTCTATTTATTTTTAAATTTTTGCTATTTTGGGCTGATACAAATGTTAAAGTACCTAATTCTTTCAATATAACTTCCCGTTTCTTAAATCAAGTATAAACTGCGACCTGAAACTGAATATAGTCCCAAAACTAAGAAATTTCGAAATATGATACGAATACCTTTTCTTTGGTGATTGCAAACTATCATGATGCTCGAGTGAATGTTATTTCAGTTAAATTACATGTTAACACAAATGCCAGCAATAAAACGGTCTGGTTTACCACTAAGTCTGTCAGGCGCTAACTTCTGGGAATTTAGTTTTTTGGGTTGCTATTTGAAGCGTTTTCTGATTTCTTTTTCTTTGAGTCATGGGCATGAAACGTTGATACGAATGCGAGGTCTGATTGATTTATGATGTTTTCAGAGTCAAGCTCACGTGTATATGGATAGAACGTTTAAATAGATTGAATTACTTCCTATTTCGGTTAGCTGAATTTTTTCTGTTGCGCTTGTAATCAACCACTTTTCGAAAATTTAGCTGATAGATTTCTTTAAAGGAAATCTGCTCCGGTTTAATACAGGTGTTTTGAACGGCAGCGTTTTCTAATGGAAAGAGTTTTAGATATGAGTCTTTTTCGACGCAAAGAGATTTCGACAATAGCAGTTTTTTTGGTGCCGATTAAAACTAAGCATCAAACGTGCCATTATCTTAAGTTAGAAAACACACGAGTGAGAGTTTTGAAATGCTTCATTTTGCTTTTTCATACTTCCTCAAGGTAAAATAATCTGAAAAATGGAATTTTTTGAACTTTTTTTCTCATCGGAGATAACGTTTTTAAATTTATTTGTTTGACTCCACGTCAATGCTCAAACACTTTTGTTTGATACCACTTTTTATTCTCTGTAAGCATTTCTGAAGTACTTGAAATACTATCCGAGGGCTATGTTTGGCTATTTTCACAGGCAAACCTTTAGGTTCGTGTCATTTCCTTTTTTCCAACCTCACGAGCATAAGCTGGTTTTCAGCAGAAGTTCTAAATTTCATTAACCGTTTACGGCTCATGTGTTTCATCCGCATGCGCGTTTTTGGCTTTTTTGGTGGCCTGGATTTGGAAGACAGCTAGCGTATATGTCAGTGGCAAAGATATTCAATTTTAAGTCTGCTTGCTGGTGGTTTCAACTTAAAGCCTCTTTTACCATTTTTATGCTTGTGCTTGCAAAGTGCTGCTCTGCCACTGTGCTAATTGTTTACACTAGCCAGCATAGTGTTTTACTATGATTATACTTCTTCCAACCTAATTCGCAAATGAAAGTGCTCATTTCATCACTTTTGCTATAATCACGATATGTAGCATTGGAAAATTCATAGCATCTGTTCTCTGCTATTTTGTGGCTAGTCTTTGCCAATCGTTAAGCAACCGTGGTCCAGATGGAAGGGCGTGAGACTCCTCATCTACTGGTCGGAGGTTCAAAGCCGCTTTTAGCTTTCGTTTCATTTGTATTTGCTGGCATTTATGCTTCATAGCCTTGAAAATTTACTAGCATATAATAAAGCTGCATCATAAGCGCTAGTGTTTGCAAGTTTTCATGGGCCGTGGCGAAGATGCAACTTCAGGGTACTCACATTTTCTTGGTCTCAGGATCGAATGCCACAGTAAAAGTTTCCAATCCGCTGCAGTTAAATTTTCAAATTATTCCTTACCGTTATCCTTCGCTAGCGTAAGGTAGCCCACTCCAAATTACTCCAGCAGACAGAATAGCACAGGAAAAAGCCCTTGCAAATTAAAATATCTCATCTGAGGAATTGAAGCCTGCGAGAAGGATGTTGACAAAAAAGACTTGTAGCGTTATTACGATTATTGAGTTCTATAAAAATGTTAGCCTATAAAATTCAAAGATGTCTGATTTTTCTAAGGGATTTTTTGGGTTGCGCAATTGAATGGATTTTTTGGGTTGCGAAATTCGTGTTTGCCGATTGAATTTTTGGGCAGTCAAAATTTTGTGTGTGTTGTGGCAAAGGGTTACTTTCGCCTCTGTGTCGTAATAAGTATAACTATCTTTTTGCTATTTTTCTTTCAAAAATTGTCTGGTAGTTTTTTTGTTAATTTCAATCATGATTGAGGTGCATTTTTGGGTCTAATTTTGGACAAACTCTTTCTTATTCATTCTAGCTCAAGTGTATAAGAATAAAAACATTTCTTCAATTAAGTCAGAATTTAACCGAATGTGAGAAATTGCGTTGAATTATTTTGCGATCGAGATGATTTTGATCAGCAGTGTTGTGTTTCGCCCATCCCGTGTTGTGTTAAGAGTGTCCGATGAGTGACAGTGGCAGTGTCAGTTTGTTACCTCGTGGAAGATCAAAAGCAGAAGAAGATAATGCGATCTCACTTGGGTCTCTGGAGAGGTATGTGTGGAGTGAACAGCAAGTGTCATCAATCATGGGTGCTTTCTACTACGGATACATGATCATGCAGATCCCTGGAGGTCAGTGAGGTTGCTTCACGCTGCAGCCAAAGAGTTAGGCTCACGCTGCAATTTACACGGTTGGATTCATGCTTTTTGTGTTGGAATTGTTCTCGGCATGATAATTTTGTTACAAATTGGATTTGAGTTAAAGGGCGTTGGGTTTTGGTTCCTCGACGAACAGGAACTGTTTGTTTTCAGGATACTTGGCCACTGTGTACGGAGGCAAGTGGGTCTTCTCCTTCGGAGTCGCCATGGCCTCCATCCTCACCCTCCTCACTCCCTCTGCTGCCGCAATGGGCCCACACGCACTATGGTACGTGTACTTCACGACCAAAAAAGGGTGTTAGAGGGTGCTGTATAATTAATATGAGTGATGATGGTTGAAAAAATTGCTATTCAGAAAAGCAAATTGGCGGTAATTGTTTAAATTATCCTGGGTCGATAATAAATAGGCATGGAATATGCCTTTCGTCTATCCCCTCCACTATCAAATTTAAAAAATTATTGATGCTAATGTTACACTTGCTGAAGCAAGTGTCTTGTAATCGAGAACCTTGTTTTTTTTTCCAGTATATATAAAATTATAAAAAATTTTCCGGGAATAGTTGAATTGTCGGACTTCTGTTTGCCTGCTTATGTTTTGTCGGCTTAGTTGCCACTTGGTTGCGGCCAGCAATTTTTTCCGTAGATACATCTGTTTTTTGTTGTATTCCTGAAATTTAAAAAATTAATAGCCCTGACTTTGTATATTTTCTTTTGTTTTAAATTTCGCTTTGAAGCTTTGTTCGTCCTTAATGTTTTCGGCTTATCTTTTATATAGGCTTCGTTTCTTGATTTGTATCGCTTCAAGGGAAAAAATGATTGAAATTTTTTTAAATAGTTAGTTTGTCTTACATAAGTGCAAAGTTTTAAAACTTATTTGCTCAAAAAATTTATATGCAAAAAAACTTTTTTATGGTTTTTTGTTTGTTTTTGTCTCAATGCGCGGCTGTTTTTGTCTCAATGAATGCATTAGCGGCTTTCTGGCCGCTCTTTTTAAAAATTAGAGACCTATTTAATGCTGTTTATTAGTAATTAATGTAGGAAAAAGTCTGAAAATTTGTTCGCGCTCAAGTTAGATTTTTCGCAGTTTAAATTTCGATATCTTTCAAGTTCATTTCATATCCTATGTTATAAGGAAAGCAATCGCCACATCGAACAGCAAAAGTGTAAAGGTCACGAAAAACGTGATCAACTTCTTTTTTCAGAATTGGATTTAAATGTTCAGATTTCCCAACGGAGTTACAAATTACCTATTGATCCAGTTTTCTCAAATTGGGTTAATTTCATCAAACCAAACAAGGGTCAAACAAATTCTTTGTGAAAGAGCTTTAAGGACATATATTGTTTCTTAAAAAAATGAAGTTAATTTCAAAAAACAAGTTAGTTTTTTCTGTTTCTTTCCGTTCATTACTCTTTTCCAACTGTCAATTGGCTATGTTTGTTGTGTTTCTTGAGTATTTTTGCATTTTTTTCAAGAATATATTTCGGTTTTAATATTTTCGTCTCAATTTCTATTCGCTATTTTTCACTGCTGTGTTTGCGTTGTATGGCAAATGTGGCGAAGCTCTGCTTCAACTCTTTGTATAAGATTTGATTTGATTTGGGAGAAAGAAAGTTCTGCCTTCAGTAACGGCAAATTTTGACAAAGGAATTTTTAGTTGATTTTAAAAAAATTGTGCATGAAGGGTCTTTTTGCAGGTTAGTCCGCTTTCTGATGGGTCTGTTCGAGGCAGTCACCTTTCCCTCCTTCACTGCCATGCTGGGTCAATGGGTTCCCATCTTCGAGAAGAGCATGTTCTCTGCGTTGTCTCTCTCTGGGGGCACATTTGGAAACGTAGTCTTCCAGATACTCATGGGCTACATATGCTCCTACGACAGTATCGGTAGGGCCATCCTTCTTGATAAAGATATAAATTAATCACATAATACCACTGTTTAGTTCATTCTTACAGTGCTGATTAAGAGTCGATGAACGTAGTTCAGGCTCGTATAAAGGTCGTGATGATCTTTTTGATTTTTTCAGGAAAATTCTTAAAAATTGATCAGGCTCAAATTTACTTTTTCGCGATTTGACTTGTGATTTCGTTTTAATTTCAATTGATTTTCTTTGTTAAAAGGAAAAACAACACCACTATCAAACAGCAAAAGTTAAAATGTCACGAAAAACGTGATCGACTTCTAACTTCCTTTTCACATTCCCCAGCGAAATAAAACATTCACCTGTTGATCCAGTTTTCTCAAATTGGATTAATTTTATCAATTATAAACTATTCTTGAAATTTGAAGAGCTTTAAATGCTTCTAATTTGTTCTTTGAAATTCGAATGCTGAGATTTCAATTTTTTCAGTTTTTTGTTTTCTTGCGTTCCTTGAATCTTTTCCAACTGTCTGTTGGCTATGTTTTAAATTATCCGGGCGAAACGAACAAAATTAGTTTGTTACATGCTTTAATCTCAAATTGGGCTCCCACTGGACAAGTGATGAGAACAAAAGATGATGAGATTTTTACCAGAATTATTATGGTGCAATTTGTTTTTTGAAATTGGGACTCAAAATTTTACCCTTAAACTGGGCGATTGGCTAAAACTACTGGGTCAATTGCTAAGGATATTATTTGGCAAAGGCCTCTCACGTAGCCAGACAAAGTTTTCGCAAATTGTTTACACGTTGTTTTCAAAAGTTAGGTGTTTTAAATAGTAAAAACGACCATTCTTGGCTATCAAACAAAAATATTTGTGTTTATTCTGAGTTTAGGAGACTATACATACCTGTCTTAAACGCTGTTGGGTTAAAAATTAGACTCACTTTATATAATTTGCTCAGAAACTGACTCGGTACGCTTAGGGTAATTTTGATTGATCAAAAGGAGCTAAAAATGACCAAAAAAGATCCATTTTTAGTGTTTAAGTTTTTTGTCCGAGTTTCGCAAAATATATTGCTCTATATCAATTTTAGATTAAAACAAGACTGCTCGTGTCAGGGCGAAGCACTGAATGTTCCGACTGCCTTTTAGGGTTTTATGGAGCAGTAATAACATTAAAAAATTAAATGTAATAAAATAAAAATAATTTTTTTTTAATTTGAATTTTTTTAAATGAAAATCATCACCCCACACGCCATTTTAAGTACAAAAAGATAGATTTAGCTCCTTGTAACAAATCAATTATGGCAAATAAGCTTCTTTCAACCAATTTGGAACGATTTTAAGACGGATAAACTCTCCGCTTACGCGTTAATAGCTCGAAATATATCGCGCGTTAATTGTCCCAAATTGGTCAAAATGGCAATCTTTAAACCCCCATAACTTTACGAAAAATGATCACAGGTGAAATATCTTTTCAAATTTGAGCTCAGGACAACAATACCTTGTGAATGATATAAAAAATTCCGTCAAAAATGGCTAGTTAAAAAGTCGAAATTTGTCTGAAGAAAAAAAAACCCACCCCGAGCACAAATATTCCGTTACTTTCGTATCGAAAGTCGGAACAAAAACTGTTTTCTCTACGCAATTTGAGGAAAACGCGTTTGAAGAAGGGAAAATAAGTTTGCGGTGTTTAGTCCGGATAATTTAAACAGGCACTGCAAATTTAAGTGCGCTTTAGGTGGCTGGCCTATGGGCTTCTATTTGATCGGCTCTCTGGGTTTGCTATTTGTGTTCTACTGGAACAAACACATCTCCAGTTTTCCTCAGGACCACCCTTCTATTGATCCACTTGAACTGGAGTTCATTCAGAGAAACACACAGGTAATTTTTATAACATCCTAAATACGCTTTCGTCTGCTGACATTCGTGCTGTTCCACTGATAACTGTTGTTTCACTTATAATCGGGAACAATTGTTTTTTTTTGCAAAAATTGTTTCTCGCATTGAACAGTCATTTCTAGGGGTAATTTGCGACATTTAAATGCAGTTACCCGTTTTTCAACCTACTAGATATAGTTTTATATGTTGACAAAATTAACTTTATTGCCAAAAATTATTCGGTTGTATTTGTATGCTGGTAATTGCTTAGATTAATGTTTCAATTCATTTTTTTTCAGTGAAACAAAACAATTGATTTTGATTGAATCTAGGTTATTCTCAAAGTTAGTCTATGGAAATTCAAAATTGGGGGGAGGGGGATTACGGTTGATTCCTCAAAGTTTTTGTCGAAATAAAAGTTTCTCTCGGAAACAAAATTTTTGCACTGTTTTCGTTGTGTCCAGTTATTCTTTGTCGAGGTTGTATGTGTTTTGCCTAGTAATGCATTGTTTTGACAGCTCCAGTCCGCCAACTGCATGTACTTGATACGTAACTAAAACAATGTTTTATCAGAAAATGAAAATTTTGATGAGCAGAAAGTTTTCCCATTATCGGTTGGTTTGCAGAATTTTTGACCTATGCCAGATTTTTTCACAGGCAAGTTTTGTTCGCAAGCGTATCATTATACCGTCAGTCCGCTTTTTTTCCGAATGAGGTAACCAGGCATTTGAGTTGATCGAAATGATACTCAGTTTTTTCCCGGCTGAGCTGAAGCTTAAATAAACTATGTAGTCTTGGAGGCTATGACAAGTTTTGGAGGCTTGAGATATGAAAATTTACCACTTTCGTAGACTAAATTATGCCCGCTGTAAGAATGTTGTGATTGTTCTGGTGCTATTTATAGTTTCATATTCTTATCTATCCCGGTCCAGGAGTGGATTTAGCACCCCTCTCCCCTCCTATCAGAGTGTTATTTTATGACATGCGATTTTTGACGACCAACCCGTTCCCCCTCTCGAAAAAAGCCCCCCCTCGAGAAAATCTTTAGTGGACTTGAAAGAAGGTCGTGGTCGACTTAAAAAAAGGTCGACAAATTTTGCGAAAATCCGCACTCCCTCGAGAAAATCCTAGTTTTCCCAAATCAAAACGCGTTTTTCTAAAATTGCGTTTTTCTCAAAATCAAACAGATATCTCCAGCTTTAGCTGGGCCCTAATTGTCTTTTATTGAGACATACGAAAGTTTTGGTTCACTTTTTTTTCCACCATTTTTCATTTTTTTCAGCTTATGTTTTTCGTTTGTGTTGTATCACAAGTGGTGCGAAGCTCCACTTTCTTTATAATCATGTTTTTCTCTAAAGTGGTTGTTTCACATTCGTTGAATTCGTCGGAAGAGTTTTTTGCACCACTGGCCATTTTTGCACCATTCCTGTTGATATTTTTGATGTGTTCAAAACCTTATTTTGCTTACAGCCTGTTGTTCCTGGAGGAGTAGCCGGTGGCTCCAGCAGTAGCAGTGGTAGTAGTAGTAGTCTGCCCTGGCGAAAAGTTTTCTCCTCCACGCCTATGTGGGCCATCATTTGTGCTCACTTTGGAAACACCTTCTTGCAGTATGGACTCATGACATGTTTGCCCCAATACCTGTCACATGTGCTCAATTTTGACATTTCTCAGAACGGTGGGTTAAAATATGCGCCTGATTTGAACTATTTTGGCATCACCGTATAAAGCTTTTTTTAGCCTTGCTTAAAGCCTTGCTAATAGCCTTGCTAAATATTTCTTAAAGGATCCTACAACGTAAGCATGTTAAATTGAAATCGGTTACGACCCAAATGGCCGAAAACGAAAAACATCCACAGTGGCATAAGTTCCATACACAGTTGTTGCAATGAAATCTTTTTCAAGAAACATTTTCCGAAAAAGGTCTGGAATGAGTTAGATAAACAAGTCAGTCAGCGATTCCATTGGCAACTTAACCAGACAGTTAATAGAAGATATCATTCAATTAGTTAATTGTCGCAGTAAATTTGTCAGTCATCAGATGAGAAACAATTAGTTTAAAAGATTTTGAGTTATAGTTCATTATATATGAAGTTATAGTTCTAATCAGTTGCGGATTTACGAGGGGACGCGGGGCGCCGACTACCCCTCCCCTCTCATGGATTCGATACCCTGCCGACCCAGAGGGTCCCCCGTTGTACTACTTTGAGAAATCTTTTTGGCTAAGTGACCCTAAAGTTTTCTAAAAGCGCTAATATTTTCTAAACTTGAGGGCTAGAGCGTGCAACGAAAAAACGCGTTTTTTTGTCCAATTTTTCCAACACATTTTTTTGCCTTTTCAAAAATGTGCATGTGAGGCAGAAAATTTTGTCAACATAGGGTCTTTTTTGAGATTCGGGAGAGCTCAAAAATCAATTTAGTCAGCCTAAAAGGGTTGAAAAATTCGATTTTTTGAAAAGTCACCCCTCCAGAAAATCCTAAATTCGTTCCTAGTTCTATTACAAAATTAGGAACTAAAAAAATATTATTTGATGCCCTTTGAGAATTATGTCATTTGGGAAGTTACTATGCGAAACCAGTCTTTTGAAAAGCCTCTTTTGTTTTAACTTTCTACTAAATAAAGATTTGAATTTATTTTGTTTTTGAACATGTTTTGATTAAAGATGAGTGTGCAGTGAATATATTGCTAATTTTCACTGAACCAAAAGAAGCGACGCTTTTTGGGACTGAATATTAAGTTTTTTTGCTTAACTCAACCACACTATAGGCCTTCTCTGTGCTCTGCCGTGGGCCTTCTGCTTCATGGTGACTCAATTGGTCTCCTATATCACGGACAAACTCCGAGAGGCCAGAGTGGTAACGACGACTCGAATCAGGAGAATCAATGGACTCATCGGTGCCCTCACACCCGCCTTGTTTCTGGGTAAGGTAGCCGAAATAGTTTGCATTCGAGGATAAATTGCTAATGGGCGGCACCATCCTTTCGTTTTATGGGGTAGGTGTTTTGGGGAGCGTGCGCTCAAAAAAGTCCTAGTCTTAGTATATTTTTGTTAGAATTTTGGAAGAGCTTGAAACCGAAATGGCCGGCTTGAAGAAAGGTCTATATATTTTTTAACAAAAAACCCACCCTAGTTTAAAAATTCTTTCGCCTTTTTTGATGGGCGGGTATAAAATAATTTCGATTTACTCTTTGCAGTTCGTTAACATTTATCGTAGTTTATTAAAGTAAGTATCTTAAGTTTTATCGTTGTTACAACCACTCTCGAAGTAAACATGGCGTGCGCGATTTTACTTCAAACAACGCATGTTAGGGGTTCAAGTGTAGTATCAAATAGGAACGCTTTCAGTCGAGATTCTCGTGATTCGAATTCCAAAAACATGATTCCAACACTGTCGAGAAGTTGAAGTAATATTATAACAACTTTTGATCTGGCGTAGAAAATTGGGTTATAGTTTTTTCTATTCAGACTCATATTCAGTTGGAGTCAATTGGAAGTTCAATATTCGTTTGGAGTCGTTTTTTCAGGATGATGAGGAGGTGTTCTCTTTTTCGAAAAGTGGTTGATTAATGTATGGTCTTAAAGCCTATCATTTTTGCCGATTTATCTGGTCACTGACACTTCAAATTTAAATGTTTTTGAATTGAAAACAGTAATTGGAACATTCTGTACTAGTTGCACAGCAACTGGTTACTATTGTTCAATTCGGATTTGATTTGCTCAGCTCAGTGGGTACAAAGTAGATTCTGATTCATTAAGGTTGTGTTTTAGAACCAATTTAACACCCTCTCCCATGCCTCAGTTTGACGGAGTTCCGGTTTCAATTGAACAAACTTAAGCTAATTGTACGATAGTCTCAACCGGAGTTCAATATCTTAAAAAAGTTCGCATTGTTTCCATGTATTAGTTTCAATTTCAGTGTTGACTGGCTACTCTGGGTGCAACTACGTGATGGCCGTGTTCTGTCTTACCCTGGGTCTCTCGTTTGCAGGCTTTACTGCCTCCGCGTACAACTGCAACCACCTCGACCTGTCCCCACAACACGCAGGAACCCTCTTTGGTAACTTACATGGCACTGTGGTGCCATGAATGCCCCTTCTGGTGTCTTTCGCTTCATCCAATAATGCTCGTTTGAATGTTTTTTTTTCATTTAACAGTTTTTCTCCCAAATCTGTAAGCTACCTTGTCTTATTATGAAACCTCAGAAATTTCCAGGCCCGTTTATGTCTGTTTCTATTGTAATTGAAAGTCGTTTTGTAATTTATATACAGGAGACCGCAGAAAGGTCAGCGTTAATAATGCGTGAAGTTGTTGTGACTTTAACAGTGGTGCCAAAATGTGCATGCTAAAGCTACCTTTTCAAGCAAAAGTTAGGTCTCATGATCATTTGAAAGATCAATAATCCACGTAAAATATAACCGACGTTGGCAGGTTGCTCTGCTAGTTCTGTTTGTTTCTAGTTTTTGTAAATTACCGTAGTTGGGATCTGAAAAGTCGCGGTTTGAAACTACGTTTTATCTAGGAAACAACGCTTTTTACGCAAGCAATGATTGTGTTATAGTATGAACTATCTTTTTTTTTCAACCTAAGTCGCAAATATTGTTACGACGCAAATATTGTAGCGATAAAGTGTTCATTTTGAAAGTGTTCATTTTGATCAATAACCAGCTATTAAGTACAGTCAATGCTAAGGATTTTAACACAGACTATTATTGTTCCGACTTTCGTAACGAAAGTACCGGAATAATTGTGCTCGGGGTGGTTTGTTTTCCAGACAACTTTTGGCTTTTTAACTAGCCATTTTTGACGGAATTTTTTTTCATCTCATTTAAAAAGTATTGTTGTCCCGAGCTTAAGTTTGGAAAGATATTTCATGTGTGATCATTTTTCGTAAAGTTATGGGCGTTAAGAAATTGTCATTTTGGCCAATTTGAGAGCATTAACGCGCGATATATTTCGCGCTATTACCGCGTAAGCGGAGAATTAATCCGTCTGAGAAATCGTTCCAAATTGGTTGAAAGAAGCTTATTTGCCATAATTGATTTGTTACAAGGGGCGAAATCTATCCGTTTGTACTTTATTTGGCGTTTTGGGGGATGATTTTTACAAAAAATCTCAAATTTAAAAAAAGTTTCTTCTTGTTTTCATTAAATAATTAAAGCTCTATAAATTCAGGCATATTAGTTGGTGAATTTCTTTTTTTCAAAAAAAGTGAATGGTACTGCTAATGCGTCATAATTTGCGTGTGTCACATTAGAAATTTTGAAGACTCAAAGTTTTACTCATTCAGTTTTTCCCAGTAGCGTTTTCTGTCATGTTTTTGATTGTGAGTGCGAAGTGCAAATTCTCCTCTGTGTTTAATTCATCAAGTGAACCAAATATAAAATATGTTTTAAACAACAGTACAATAAAAAATTTGATTTTTAAATTTTTGATTGCAAGTTATCTCGCATTTTTTGAAATGCATATTTTATACATAATTTGGCTTTATGCTTTCCAATTTTTTACATGCAAATTGTTTCTATATTTATTTGGTGCCACTTTTGGTGCATCGCATTGGCAATTTAATAGCATATGTAGCTGCTTTATTTTTGGCTAGTGATGGTAATTTAGCAAGTGCCGTTTTTTTTTACTTTTTCTGATTTATTTTATAGGGCTTTCTTGCTTTTATAGGGCTTTCTGATTTCATTTTTGTCGTTACTTTTACCATGGTTTGGTTAATTGTTTTTGCAGATTTTCTGACAATTTGTCCCTTATCTTTCTATCCACGATGGGGTAGCCCACTCCAAATTAACCCAGCAGACAGTATAACCCAGGAAGAAGCCCACGCAAATTAAATTATCTCCACTGAGGAATTGAAGCCTGCGAGGAACACGTTAACAAAAAAGACTTGTAGTGATATTAAGATAAATTATCTGTAGAAAGTTGTTAGCCTATAAGTTTCAACGATGTCTGATTTTTTCGAAGAGATTTTTTGGGTTGTTATTTTTCCAGCAGGTTTCTTCATTGATTCACTTACTGACCTGTTAATGCTATGCTTATGTAGTTTTGCTCTGTTGCGTGGGTAAAAGAGTCAAGTTTTTCTTTCAAAATGAAGATTTAAAAGGGAATAAAATGTTTAAAGTGTATATATGCAAGAGGCGCCAATTCGTAACAGGCGAAAATTCTTATAAGTCGTAAATTCTTAACTAGCGAAAATTCGTAACAGTAGATTCAGTGGCAAACGCTGATTCACGCACAGAATTACGCGTGTTCTACTTGCATTCGTATTCTACTTGAAAGCATATTCTACTTGCAACGAAATGTCGCTTCTTTACACTTGTGGGCTTCAGTGAGTGTAGTGTAATAGTACGACTATTCTTTTTTCCCACCTAGGTCTCATCGTTACTTTTTGCCGCATCGTTACGGCTATTTGATAGCATAAGCTTTGACTTTCGCTTGGTAAAAAGTTAACACAGTTGATGCATTTTTACATCATCAAAAGAAAGCATGCAATAAATTTTTATGCTTTCTAATTTACTATATGCAAAGTTAGTGTCTTCAGTTTAATATACTCCAAGTTATTACATGAAAAGTTATGTCTATTCATATTTGGTTCCACTTTTGGTGCATCTCATTGGATTTTTTTTAGCATATGTAGCTGTTTTAATTGTGGCTAGTGATAGTAAATTAGCAAGTGCCCATGGCGCAGATGCGAGGACAGAGTACTCAATCTCCTGATCACAGGATCGAATCCACCACACTGAAAATTTCTTCTTTCTTGCCGTTTTTTCTACTTTTTCTGATTTCATTTTATAGGGCTGCTTTTTGTCGTTTTCTTGATAGTGTTTGCGAAGCTCAGCTTCGCCTCTGCGTATTTTTTTTGGTTATAATTTCGTTGGCAAAGTTTGATGTTACCATTGTTTTGTTAAATGTATTTGCTGATTTTATGGCAAGTTTTCCCTTATCTTTCTATCCTTGATAGGGTAGCCCACTCCAAAAATAACCCAGCAGACAGTATAGCCCAGGAAGAAGCCTATGCAAATTAAAATGTACATGAGGAATTGTAGCGAAAAATTTGTCGTAGTATGTTAATCAAAGGAATGAAAGTGAAGATGCCGCATTTGAAGAATTGTTCATAGCAATGCTAGCTTTTAAAAAGACTGTGCAACGCGTAAAGTGTCAACGCACGTTTTAAACTCACTCGTCTTGTGAGCTATATCAAAGACTTTTCACGCTCACTTGGCTTTATGTTTGAATTTTATTGCTCTTTGTCAGAAGATCAAACGATCGATTCACGGTGGCTCAAAATTCTGAACTCGAAGCTGATATTTTGTGTCACCTGAGGGTATAAAATGAGCCAAAGCTTGAAGGTAAATTTAGAGTATCTGTATTTTTGTATGAGGTAGTGATCGTTCCGTGTCTTTTATTGGGTTCTCGGTATTTTTTACTGGTTTGAGTTGTTGTGCCACTTCTTGCCTATAGAATATTGATCTTTTGCTTAAAATGATCCAGCTGAATTTTTTCCATAAACGTGTAAATCGAGGAGAGCTTCCTGGAACAGCGAAGTAGCGTCGTTATGCCAGCCTCCAACCGCATTGGTTGTTTGAGTTAGATCTGCTCTCGCGTTGTCAGAGTATTTCTAGAGAGCTGAGGGAGGGAAAGAATCAAGTTGTAGTCGGATAATTGTTTCACCTTCAATAAAGAAATAAAAGCCGGAATGATTTTTGAGGTTAGGTCGAGCTTAGCATTGTTTTGGTAAAGTTGCGATGGAAGTGGTTTTGTCAATAGACTGTCATCTCGAAATTCTCGACGAATGTTTGCCTGTTTTTCATCAGAACGAAAACAGATCAACGAATGATTTATTATTCTCGGGACATAGAAATGAAAAATACTATTTGCGATCACAGCAAAATATGGCTTTTTGACATAACTTTCAGGATATGCATATCTCAATTCTACCTATTGTACATATAGCATATCAAGATTGGTGGCATTTAATGTCCACCCTGCGTTAACGTTTTGCTTAGCAGTAAGAAAGGTTACACTAACGTCAGTTTTATTCAAGCCCTGATTAGCCTTATTGGAGTCACTGTAATAGAAAAAACTGTAATTGACTTAAACAAGCAGCCTTGAATTTATAAAATTAGCGGATAATCGAAAGTAGTATCCATTTTTCAGTTTTAAATCCTGAAGCAAAACGTTAACGCAGGAGTAATAATAGCCAGCAATCTTGATATATACACTATGTACAATCCGTCACAATCAGCCAAGTTTTTGCTATAGTCGCAAAGAGCATTATTGTTTTCCATGCCCTCGAGATTAATTAAACATTCGTTGTCCTCTTACCACTATCATATAAACAAAAGGCAGATATTCTCCGGTTATGGCGAAATGGCCGTTTGTCCATAAAACCACTACACCAGGTAACCGCCCATTGTGTTGATGCTAGCTGGTATTACCTCGTTATTTACTGGTTTGATTTGACATTTTGCTGTTTCGCTCAGCTGACAAACTAACTGCCTTTTTGCTGTTAAGTTCAGCTGACCAACTAACTGCCTTATTTTTACAACGGTCTTGAACTCATCTCGTTGCAAGTGATAAGTGTGACCTTATGCGAACGCCCTTGTGCACAGTGCCAGTGAATTGTAAACTTTTTGTCACGATTTTAAGTGAATGCTTTTGTTCAAGATACGCAACGTTTTGCCCTGTTGAGTTTTTGCTGTAGTTAAAAGTTGTCATTTTGATTTTGAAAGTTACAGAGCTGTGAATGTAATGATATAACTTCGCTTTGTTTCCTTATCAAATTTTTGATGACTCCATTAACAGTTCGGAAAACAAAATTTAATCTCTAGAAAAGAGTATTTACGAATAGCTCTATTTGACATCTGAAATTAAATGTTGCTGCTAATTTGAGACTCATTTTATGTGTGGAATAGACATAAGCACTGCTCATTAGTAATATATTTTACAAAATAGTTTTCTGACTTTCGAAGAAAGTGAAGGAATATTTGCGATCGGGCTGGTTTTTTTTTCCAGAGAAATTTCGACTCTTTAACTAGCAATTTTTGACGGAGTTTAAAAATGTCATGCGACTCAAAGTTTTACTCATTCAGTTTCTCCCCAGTAGCGTTGTCGGTCATATTTTTGATTGTGTATGCGAAGTGCAAATTCTCCTCTGTGTTTAATTCATCAAGTGAACCAAATATAAAATATGTTTTAAACAACAGTACAATAAAAAATTTGATTCTTTAAATTTTCGATTGCAAGTTATCTCGCATTTTTTGAAATGCATATTTTATACATAATTTGGCTTTATGCTTTCCAATTTATTACATGCAAATTTTTTCTATATTTATTTGGTGCCACTTTTGGTGCATCGCATTGGCAATTTAATAGCATATGTAGCTGCTTTATTTTTGGCTAGTGATGGTAAATTAGCAAGTGCCGTTTTTTTTACTTTTTCTGATTTATTTTATAGGGCTTTCTTGCTTTTACAGGGCTTTCTGATTTCATTTTTGTCGTTACTTTTACCATGGTTTGGTTAATTGTATTTGCAGATTTTACGACAATTTGTCCCTTATCTTTCTATCAGCGATGGGGTAGCCCACTCCAAATTAACCCAGCAGACCGGATAACCCAGGAAGAAGCCCACGCAAAATAAAATATCTCCACTGAGGAATTGAAGCCTGCGAGGAACACGTTAACAAAAAAGACTTGTAGCGATATTACGATTAATTATCTCTAGAAAGTTGTTAGCCTATAAGTTTCAAAGATCAGCGAGTGATTTATTATTCTCGGGACATAGAAATGGAAAATACTTTTTGCGATCACAGCAAAATATGGCTTTTTGACATAATTTTCAGGATATGCATATCTCAATTCTACCTATTGTACATATAGCATGTCAAGATTGGTGGCATTTAATGTCCACCCTGCGTTAACGTTTTGCTTAGCAGTAAGAAAGATTACACTAACGTCAGTTTTATTCAAGCCCTGATTAGCCTTATTGGAGTCACTGTAATAGAAAAAACTGTAATTGACTTAAACAAGCAGCCTTGAACTTATAAAATTAACGGATAATCGAAAGTAGTATCCATTTTTCAGTAATAAATCCTGAAGCAAAACGTTAACTCAGGAGTAATAATAGCCAGCAATCTTGATATATACACTATTTACAATCCGTCACAATAAGCCAAGTTTTTGCTATAGTCGCGAAGAGCATTTTTGTTTTCCATGCCCTCGAGATTAATGAAACATTCGTTGTCCTCTTACCACTATCATATAAACAAAAGGCAAATCTTCGCCGGTTATGGAGAAATGGCCGTTTGTTCATAAAACCACTACACCAGGTAACCGCCCATTGTGTTGATGCTAGCTGGTATTACCTCGTTATTTACTGGTTTGATTTGACATTTTGCTGTTTCGCTCAGCTGACAAACTAACTGCCTTTTTGCCGTTTAGTTCATCTAACCAACTAACTGCCTTATTTTTACAAGAACGGCCTTGAACTCATCTCGTTGCAAGTGATAAGTGTGACCTTATGCGAACGCCCTTGTGCACAGTGCCAGTGAATTGTAAACTTTTTGTCACGATTTTAAGTGAATGCTTTTGTTCAAGATACGCAACGTTTTGCCCTGTTGAGTTTTTGCTGTAGTTAAAAGTTGTCATTATGATTTTGAAAGTTACAGAGCTGTGAATGTAATGATATAACTTCGCTTTGTTTCCTTATCAAATTTTTGATGACTCCATTAACAGTTCGGAAAACAAAATTTAATCTCTAGAAAAGATTATTTACGATTAGCTCTATTTGACGTCTGAAATTAAATGTTGCTGCTAATTTGAGGCACATTTTATGTGTGGAATAGACACAAGCACTGCTCATTAGTAATATATTTTACAAAATAGTTTTTCGAAGAAAGTGAAGGAATGTTTGCGATCGGGCTGGTTTTTTTCCAGACAAATTTCGACTCTTTAACTTGCAATTTTTGACGGAATTTAAAAATGTCATTCGAAAGGTACTGTTTTTCTGAGCTCAAATAATAAAAGATATTTTTTACCCGTGATCGTTTTTCGTAAACTCATGGGGGCTTAAAGGTTCTCAATTTGGGACAATTAACGCGCGATATGTTTGTGCATTCTTCAAGGAAGCTGAGGTGTAATCCTATTAGAAATTGTTCGAAATTGGATGGAGGCATTTTCGTTGGCCTATTGAATACTTTGGTCTATGCAAAATATATCACATTATACTTAACATAGCGTGTGGTGGATGGTTTTTAAAAAGCTACTTTTTTGAAATTTTCATCAGTTACTTTATTTTAAGTTGCTTAATGGAAGTTAAAACGCAGTCGGAACATTCAGGGCTTTGCAATGATACGAGCAGTCTTGTTAATGCTTTGTAAGTCAAATAAGGTTTTTTTTTAATTGACGTTGATTGGCTAAAGTGGTATGGGATACCATGTTCATTAGGACATATTAGCAGGGTATTTTTTGGATGGGATACTTTGTCTTATCACCGTATTTTCTATTTAGGTATCACTAACACATTCGCAACCATGTCTGGTTTCCTTGCACCTGCCCTGGCATCCTGGTTGACCTCAGCCAATCCTAGAGACAGAGTATTGTGGCAGCAGTACTTCTACATAACAGCTGCAGTGGACGCGCTAGGAGGCACTTTCTATTTTCTCTTCGCCTCTGGGGAATTACAGAATTGGTCTTCTCAGAAGGGATCATCATCTTATGCAAAGCTCAAAAAGCGGGTTGAAACAGTGTGACTGAGTTGGAAGAATTTAAAAATTGTGACCTACTTTAAAAATGCCCGTTTGCAGTGAATCTTGAAGTTTAGATTCGAAATGTGTGCTACTTAGCTGGCTTAAACTGACATGTTTATTGCCAACAATCATGTTGGGATGCAGGAGTTTTTGAAGTAGATCCCAGAATCTTCAATTAAGAAAAGCTTGACAAGTCTCGGTGCTTTGTATTTATTTGTATAAATATCAAAAATAAATATTTTTAAGAGTAATGAACGTAGTTATTTTTTTCAGGAAAGAGTCTTAAAATATTGATGCACTTAGATATATATGCAATTTTTGAGTTCAATTGAAATTCATCTGCTGAAAGTGACACCAATAGCACTCTACAAATAGGAACGTTCAAATGGCGCCAAAATTCGTGAACGATTTCTAGTTTCGAAAGCGGAATTTAATTTTTAGATTTACAGCGGAATAAAAACTTTACCTGTTGATCCAGTTTTCTCAAGTTGGGTTAATCATAAATCGTTCTAGTTGGGTCAAAAAATCGTCAATCATAAATCGTTCTAGAAATTCGAAGAGCTTAAAGGGCATCTACTTTTTTCTTTGAAAGTCGAAAGTTGAGATTTTTCAACGAAGTCAGTGTTTTTGTTTACTTGCGTTCATTACCCTTTTCCAATCTCGATTGGCTATGTTTTATTTGTATTAAATTGATTAGGTTTAAATACAAATAATAAAGAGTTCAATTATGCAATTATACTTTTTTTTATGAGATTGCGAGAAAATTGCATCAGAGGGAGGTGTAGCCCATATAGAAATAAAGAAAACTAGGAATATACTGAAAGCAAAAGCTGGAAATAAGCCTCTCGGGGATTTCTTGAAATGAATCATTTTCATTTTAATTTACTAACAAATTATTGTACGTTTAAAAGCGACCTAGCTGTTGCCCAAATTGCTAAAGTTGCCTACCTAATTGCTCAATCTAGTTGCCCCAATACCAAGTTTCAGCTAAGCTGTGCCAAGCAATTCGGTTCTCAAAAGGTTGGTTTCATCCTTTCAAAAGTAATAATCTTGTAATTGATTGATGCGAGTTGCTAGTATGTGTAAAGTAACCCATAAAAACTTCAGAATTACTTAACGGCAGTCAAGAATGGCGTCGAATACTGAAAATGATGCGAATAATATCAAGAACTACTTCCAAGAGTGCAAACAAGTGTTGGAACAGTTCTCCACTAGTCACATGAATTATCAGAAGCAAAGTGAAAAACTGCACGCGGAAATGGAAGTCCTGAAAGGTCAAAACAAAGACCTGATCAGGTCAAATGAGGAGCTGAAAAAATATATTTCCGATAAAATACAGGTGAAATGTTATCATATACGTACCGGATCAAGATAGGGGTTATGGTTTCTGGAATAATGTTTCGTTATTTGGATTGGAACAAATGAGTAGAATCAAAATTTTGTCTAGAAAAAACATGGCACTGCTTAAGAGTCGATGAACTCAGTTCAGACTCTTATATAAGTCGCGATGAGCCTTTTTTCGCGGTTTGAATTTTCATTTGCTTTTAAATTCAATTCAATTTTTAAAAGAAAGAAGGAAAACTTCACTTTTGCGTTGCAAAAGCGTAGAGGTTGCGAAAAATGCGGGATCGAATTCTAATTTCAAAAATGGAGTTTAATTCTCAGAGTACCTGCGATTTTTTAACATATTATTCCAGTTTTTACAGAAGCAATGCTTGTGTGAATGAATTCTCTTTTTTCCAATCTAAGTCGCAAATATTAGTGTTTATTTTGAAAGTGGTCTTTTATTGCAGTATGTGCATAAGATCAACAAGACTGCTCGTATCAGGGCGAAGCCCTGAAAGTTCCGACTGCCTTTTAAGGTCTATGGAGCATTAATAAGATGAAAAATTTCAATGTAATAAAAAAAATTAAAAAATATTTTAAAAAAATTTGAGATTTTATGTAAAAACATCCCCGCACACGTCATAAGTACAAAGTGATAGATTTGCGCCATAAACAAATCAATTAAGGCATATAAGCTTCCTTGAACCAATTTGGAACGATTTCTAAGACGGATTAAATCTCGCTTACGCGTTCATAGCGCGAAATTTATCGCGCGTTAATTGTCCCAAATTGGCCAAAATGGCAATATTTAAACCCCCATAACTTTACGAAAAATGATCACAGGTGAAATATCTTTTCAAGTTCAAGCTCAGGACAACAATAGCTTTCGAATGATATAAAAAATTTTCGTCAAAAACGGCTAGTTAAAAAGTCGAAATTTGTCTGAAGAAAAAAACCCACCCCGAGCACAAATATTCCGTTACTTTCGTATCGAAAGTCGGAACAATAACCAGCTATTAAGTACGGCCAATGCTAAGGATTTTAACACAGACTATTAATTTACAAATAGCGCCTTAGCTTCAAAGTATCATGGAGCTGTGGCGTACATGTAGGGAAGGAGACCCGCAACAAAATAGAGGGTTTCAACCTGGACAGGTTCGGATGATTATTATGAACTTTTTCGCATGCTAGTTAGAATGCGTCCGCTCTATAAATTGAGGCTTGTTGGTAAATTTTTTTTTATTCTCAAATTGACTGGTACTGCTAATGCGTCATAATTGGCTTGCGTCAGTTAGCAATTATGTAGACTCATAATTGGCCTGCGTCACTCAAGAAATTTTGTAGACTCAATGTTTTACTAATTCTGTTTTTCACAGTAGCGTTATCGTTCATATTTTTTCTTGTGCATTGTGTATGCGAGCTGCACTTCGCCACTGTCTCTCAAATTGAGTCAATTCAATCAAAAACTGTCAATCATAGTTTTTTTAGAAGTTTTTCAAATTGGAAAAAAAGTATTTCATAAGGGTGGAAAAATCCAGTATTGATTAAAACTATAATCTTTGTTGGTTTTATTGCTTTCTCTGGATATTTGTTGCAATAGTTATGTTTTGTGCTAGAGTTCTGATGAGATTTTTTCCTAATAAGGTGAGGTTTTTGATCAAAATGGGAAAATGTGGGTTTAAAGAAAATTATTATGGCGAAATTTCCACAATCCGGACCAAAAAACTTCGCTTCAAAAGTGAGACTAATTGACTAACAAAACCGCAAAAATTACGTGGCCCTTTTTGTACTCACACTACAGTACTGGTTTAAATTATCCGTATAAAACAAAAATAAATTGAAATATAAAACGCTTTTTTCTCAAATTGTGTTTGTTCTAGACAAAACATGAAGACAAAAATTGTTGACATTTTTTACGGAAAATTCTATATTGCAATTTGTTTAGCAAAATTTACTCGGCTCAAAATAATTACTGAACAGGTTTTTGGAAGTTTTCATCAGAGTTTTTGATTGCTTGGATATGTTCTAAGAAATGGAACGTCCTACCTGAGCACTTGAGAATGATGAAAAATAAGTCAAAATATATACTCGAAATTCCTGAGCTACTTCCTGAGATACTTTAAAATGAAGAAGTATCCGCGAACAAAAACATTGCAGGTAATAAGTTATGTATGTGTAATATAACTTTCACATTTACCTTGTAGTTACTTATTTTAATAATCTATGGAGCCAACCTTGATTGAAATAATCTTATTTGTTGTTTTGAAATTTTTGAATTTTAATATACAGCATATTTTGTTTAACCTTGTTAATAAAAGAACACAATTACATGTTTGTAAAAATTGGTATTAAATATATAAAAACGATATATATAATTTAAAATCACAGAAAAAAAAACAAAGAAAAATGTATATACACAGAAAAAAATACTTCTTAAATTTTGTTCGGTATCATAAGAGACTCAATGAGATGTCGAAAAATTTCGAACACTCAAATTTTAAACATGCAATTGGAGTCATTTTTTTGAATGATTGTAAAGAAAAAAGTAGCTGATTTTAAGTATTTCTCCAAAGTATTGTGAATGCTGCTTTGATATATTAGTAACACATTGAACATTGAAATAGAGTTGTCTAAGCTTAGAACATCTTAAAATTTTATGGTTGATCGAATTTTTGATAATATTGAAAAATGATCAACATACCTACAAAAACTTCTGATTTGAATTCATAGTTCAAAAATTGTTGCAAGCGATCAAAATTTTGTAGAAACGGAAACTTAGTACACCATACTTAACTTTTTGCGCAATAGTTTTGGTATACTCTGATGAAAATCAGTTAAAACAAATTAAAGAAGGTTACTTTCATTTCATCAATTTACAAAAAAAATATTTTTTTTTCAATGATGTGTCAGCTAAAAGCAAATGCAAAAGTTCGAAGCTACTTAACTAATTTTTGTGGTCTTGAGTGTTTTTTGGGGAGGCTTAAATCTGAAAAGTCAGGCGAATCAATTCACTATCTAAGCTTTTTTTTTACTTAACATAAAAATAAAAAATCGTAGAAAAATGTGTTGCTCCTAATATCTATGAGGGTGTGCGTGCTTTCTAATTTCAAACTTGGACAAAATTCAGATTCACCACATTCGAATCTGTTTTTATTCCGGCGACTAGCTGCTGACTTGCATATTTCAGAAGAACAACCGAGTGCTTTTTTGCACGAAGGTTTTTTATACGAAAACGATTTTTTTGTTGGAGGCCGATAAAACAGAAACGGGAAAAATTGATATTTTTAGCTTCAATGAACGGTAAAAGGGACGGAAACTACTAAAACTTTTCTTTAAATAATTTTTGTCGTCAGCATCAATTTTTCTCGTTAATGTTTTGTAGATAATTAATCAAAAAAATTGTAGAAAAAAATTTCTCCTTTTAGTGGACATGATGCAACACTTTATTTTTCATGAAAAGTTTTACCTGTGTTAAAGTTTTGTACAACTGTTTTTGCCCATATAAACCATAATGTGCAAAACGTTTCCATACTCGTATTTCACAACAAGCCATAATTCAGAAATTAACAGCATTTTCCTTGCAACTAACCCATTTTTGTATTTTTTTTGAATTTTCACTTTTTGTTTATCCTGTAAGTTTATATTCTGCGACTCAGTGAATTTTTCTCACCCTACAAATTCAACAACTTTCACTGATATAAGCAATTTTTGCACTAAAAATGATAAGTTTTTGAGTCTGGGCACAAATTTTTATTCAAGTTAGACCTGTAACTTAAACTAACTTTATCCGGTTTTTCCTCGGTTTGGTTGTAACAAGTGGACGTCGTCTTACCAGCAGAATCTAAACTTTTCAAAGATTGTCTCCGACTAAATCCGATGAGCTGTCATAATTTAAAAAGACCTTTAATTTTTTCCAATATTTGAGACAACATATGCAAGTGTTGAAAACAACTCCAAACGAAGTCATAAAAATTTTTTAGAAAAAATATAATAAAATTGAAAGTTATCAGAAATTGACGTCTGAAAACAACAAATTTTAATGATTCGTTCGATTTTTTTTGGCAAGTAAAC